TGAGGAGAACAAAGATCTCTTAGTTCCAGCAGAGGGAGGGAAGGGCCTGGGAGGCGCTGTGTCCTCCTGCGAGCAGGCTGGTCAGAGCATTGCCGCACGTTACCATGACAGTGCTCCAATACAGTGCTAAGCTTGCAGGAGGACAGGGGAGTCAGCCTGCAGCCGGAGGAGCTACAGGCCAAAGTGAATATGCCACCACTGGACAGGGCCGGACTGGCCCACCGGGATACCGGGAAATTTCCTGGTGGGCCATCGGCACCTGGGGCAGGGCAGGCAGCTGGCTCACCTCCGGCTACAGAGGGAGCTCTTTAGGCGGCCGCAGGGGGAGCTGGCTGTTCTGTCTCTGCTCCCCCTCCCCAGCGCACTACAAAGGGACTGGGGCCGGAATATGACGTCATATTCCGGCGCCGATCTCATTAAGCGGCGCGCTGGGGAGGGGGAGCAGAGACAGAACAGCCAGCTCCCTCTGCGGCCGCCAGAACAGCCAGCTCCCCCTGCGTCCACCATCAGAGCTCCCCACAGGTAGAAATTGTGTGTGAGTGTGTGTGTGTCTGTCTGTGTCATGGTGTGTGTGTGTCTGTCTGTGTCATGGTGTGTGTCTCTGTGTCATGGTGTGTGTGTGTGTGTCTGTCTGTGTCATGGTGTGTGTGTGTGTAAGTCTCTGTCTGTGTCATGGTGTGTGTGTGTCTGTCTGTGTCGTGGTATGTGTGTCTCTGTGTCATGGTGTGTGTGTGTCTGTCTGTCTGTGTGTGTGTCTCTGTCTGTGTCATGGTGTGTGTGTGTGTCTGTCTGTGTCATGGTGTGTGTGTGTGTCTGTCTGTGTCATGGTGTATGCGTCTGTCTGTGTCATGCAATGTGTGTCTGTGTCATGGTGTGTGTGTGTGTGTCATGTTATGTGTGTCTGTCTGTGTCACGGTCTGTCTGTGTCATGCAATGTGTATCTGTGTCATGGTGTGTTTGTGTGTGTCATGTAATGTGTGTCTGTCTGTGTCACAGTCTGTCTGTGTCATGGTGTGTGTGTGTTTGTCATGGTGTGTGTGTGTTATGGTGTGTGTGTGTCTGTATGTCATGGTGTGTGTGTCTGTCTGTCATGTAATGTGTGTCTGTTTCATATAATATGTGTCTGTCTGTGTCAAGGTCTCTGTGTTGTGGTGTGTGTGTGTGTCTGTGTGTCATGGTGTGTGTGTCTGTCTGTGTCGTGTGTGTGTCTGTGTCACGGTCTGTCTGTGTTATGGTGTGTGTGTGTGTCAAGGTGTGTGTGTCTGTCATGGTGTGTGTGTGTCTGTCATGTTATGTGTGTGTCTGTCTGTGTCATGGTGTCTGTCTGTCTATCATGGTGTGTCTGTTTCTGTCTGTGTCACGGTGTGTGTGTGTGTTTCTGTCTGTGTCACGGTGTGTGTGTCTCTGTCCCGGTCTGTCTGTGTCATGGTGTGTGTCTGTCATGGTATGTGTGTGTGTATGTATGTTTTTACTCACCTTTTTTTTTAACCCCACGTCGTGCTGGTCTCCCCTCGACTGGCCCTGCCTCTATGGCTGAGATCATCAAGCTTGATGATCTCAGCCAATCCGCACTGTCACAGGAAGCACCTCTAGTGACCGTCTGAGTGTCTGTCACTAGGAAGCAATTTTCTCTAAAAAGTCAGTGTTTACATTGAAAAGCCTGCAGGGACAGGCTATAGACACCAGAGCCACTACATTAAGCTGTGTGTGTGTGTGTGTGTGCGCGCCTGCTAGTGAGTGGGCTTGTGTTTCTATGTCAATGGCCTTATGTATATAAGTGAGATTGTTTGTCTATGAGGCTGTGTATCAATCAGCTTGTGTCAGTGAGATTGTCTGTGTCTGCATGTGAGTATGCTTACTGTATAATTAAAAAATTTACTCTGAAAGGACCAATATTTTATATTGGAAAAAGCAATATATATATATATATATATATATATATATCAATCATCTAGGGTGGCAAGACATAGCCTTACATATTACATGCGACAATATATGGCGCAATGACTTATGGGGCTGGCATAGATTTTTTCCAGGGCTGCTTTGGAATCCCCAGTCCGGCCCACCCACTGGACCACCAGGGCTTGCAGCATTATGTCCCCTCTCCCTGGTAAAAGGTAAGAAGGGAGGGGGAGACATTGAGATAGAATTTCACATCTCACCCACCTACACACAGCATAGACCCTATGCACCTTTCACACACTGCCCCCTCATACACACACACACAAACTACACCCCTCACACACACACAGAATGCCACCCTCACACACACACAGACTGCCCCCTCGCACACTGCCCCCTCACACACAGAGACTGCCCCCTCACACATAGTGCCCTCTCACACACTGCATCCTCACACACACTACCCCACACTGCAAGCATCACACATATTCCACCTCTCACACACACTGCACCCCTCATATACACAGCACCTCTCACACACACGTCACCTCTAACACACACACTGCACCCTTCACACACAGTGCACCCCCTCACACACTGCCACCCTCACACACTGCACCCTTCACACATTCACAGCACCTCTCACACACACATTGCCTCTAACATACACACTGCACCCCTCACACACTTACATACCCCTCACACACACAGCACCCATCACCCATACTGCACCCTTCACACACACTGCCCTCTCAAACACACTGCCACCTCACACACAGCACAACTTACACACACTGTACCCCTCTCACACACTACCCCTCACACACACACTGCACCCCTCACACACACAACACCCTCACACACATAAAGCACCCCTCACACACGGCACCCTTCAAACACACTGCACCTCTAACACACTACACCCTTCACGCCCTTTACACACACAGCACCCCTCACCCACACACTGCACCTCACACACACACACACACACACACTACACCCACAAACTGCACCCCTCACCCACAAACTGAACTCCTCACACACACACTACACCCTTCACACATACAGCACCCTTCACACACAGCACCTCACAGACACACATAGAAAAAAAGTACAATAGGAAAAAAATAGCTAAATTTAAGTACATATTTATTTATTTATTTTTAAAACACTCTTTTCTAAAAATAAAATAAAAATAACACTTACGCTATAAAATTAGTTACTGTGGCACTGGTGATACAAAAGTGGGCAGTATGTATTAAAAGGTTGACTACCACTGTTCTAAACAATTTAAAACACATGGTTGCCCACAGTTAAAATGAATGGACACTGAAAGAAGAAACAGCGATTTAAAGAAAGTAATGATTTCTTAATTTTATAAAAAATTTGATTCATCTTCTACATCTCAAGAAGGCATTCAATTATTTTTTTAAATCATGTTTAAAATTTTTATTTCTACCGAAAATGCGTCCTTACCTAATGTATATAACCTAGTACGAAATAACGTTTAATACTTGGAAAAAAATAACAGATGCCAAATTTGTCTTTATTCTTGGTGTCATACTGTTAGACAATGCGATTCAGTAGAAAAAGAGTGCTCCTTTGAGTGCATACTGCTGCCATTTTACTCACTACTTGACACCTGAAAAAATAAGTCTACTATAAAACACGAAAAAAATAATCACTATGGGAAGCATAAAAACTCTTGTTAAAAGGCTGCATCCATAAAAATGTGTCAGGAATTGCACCTTTAAACCCCTAAGCTCGATATTCTTAAAACTCACTATAGATTCTGCTGTAGAAGCAATAGCAAACTCTGCTATCATTAGGCAAAATTACATTAGCCAAAGACTTAACACCTTGAACTAGTGATGTCTGTGCAGTACAAGAAATTCACATAGGTGCTGATTGCACCAGATTATTTTTTATTCTCTCAGTATGTGTAAAATCAGAGATTTTACATGCTAACAATAACACACCATGGGAGATGTTAACTTAAATGTTAATTTTTTTCCAAATACGGGAAACCTGCATAAAAATGAAAACTGACTTAATACATATTTTGCTGTAAATATTTGCAATTTTATAACAAGACAGGAAGCTCGTATTATGCATTAACTTTCTTTACTTAACTCCAGCAGCAAAGACATTTTTTCAATAAAGTTTAGTGAATAAAAAAGATAAAAACAACAGAGTAACTGAAATGGAACGTTGGTAGCCAATCAGCATCCAGCATAGTCCATATAGTAAATGATCCCCAATATTCTCCCTCTTTCTTTGCTGCTCCAGTAGAGATAAGTATCATATATATTCACTTATGCTACTGTTTTCTATACATACCTTCTAGTTTGGTTATATGTTGACATATGTGTTTATTCCTTTGGAATATATACTTTTCTGAAGTAATTCTATGTCTTCTTATTGTTTTAAAATATATATTTTTATATTTGGTGCACTGTCTTTCATGCATTCTATCTGGAAATGGAGTAGCTGTTCGTCCGCGTTCGGTAGTTTTGTCTTTGAACTGTTAGGTCAGTTATTTCTATGAATCGCATTCGTTAGTTTTTTCACACGAATTGCACTCATTTACTGTCGTATTACTTTATTATTCTCGCGTTCGCTTTTTTTGTATACGAACGGTCAATTCACTGTTCAGTGATTTCGGCAGTTTTATGCGAACCGCTGCACACGCGTTTCTGTCAGTTAGTCCCTCATACATTGATGACGTTTTATGGGTGGGAATACCAGTTAGTTGGTCCTCAGCTAACTTTCCAACCCACTTTACCTCAGGACTGCGTTTTTCTTCACAACCTGTTACTCTTTACTGGTAATTATTATTATAACTTGAACTATTTGATTTTCCTGTCAGGATGTCCCCTCATAGTTGGCAACATTTTTATTATTCAACTATTCTCGAATAGTAGATACAATTGCTATTTGTTGCAATTTTGTAAATTATGAATTCTAAAGAGATTAGACAAATTGAGTCACCAAAACCTGGTCTTTCTCATGACTGTGAAATTCTCACTGAGGATTCTTCACAAAATATTGTGGATTTATCCGTTCAAAAGTCAGTTTCCTCTGCAATTTATACTGCAATGTCTTCTATGCAAGAAGCAATTGCAAAGTCTGTGGCTCAAGCCATAAGCAACTCAAAACCCAGTGAGAAGACTCATTTAATTAGTACTCCTTCAGACCAGTTCTGGTCATCTGTGGAGTCTGAACGGAACCTAGCTCAAGGTTTTAGGAGGTCTGGGAAGGCCACCCAGAAATGCAAATATTGCTTTGACGGTCCTGCAGAATCCCCTGGCGGCTCTAAGCCACTTAAGATAGGGAAGGACCAAGACAAGAACACAATGCGTGTCTCACGCAAAACTGAAGAGTGTTCCTCTGCTCGTGAGGAAGACAAACGAGCTTGGAAGGCCATTCACAGGAGCAAACCTGACTCCTATAAAACCTCCTCAGATAGTGACTCATCTTCAATCTCAGGGGATGAAAAATCTGACTCTGATTCTGCCTCAAATTATTCATATATCTCAGAGACACCTGAGCTTATCTCTAAATCTGATGAAGAGAATATTATTTTGGATTTTAATGGTAAACCATTATTCGACCCAGACCATATTAAACACCCCAGGTCAGCCGAATGGGTCCCTATGGCTCATCTTGAATACTGGTTGAAGAAAGCCCTTGACCAAGCGGCTAGAAATAAACTAAGAGCTGAATGCCATAGACCGACCTTGTCAAAGAAAGTCGCACAGACCCCTGATCTAGATCCCACTATTGTACAATTTTTAACAAAATCAGGGAAGAACCCAAATAAAGGTCTTGACAGATCACTAAAATCTTGTCAAGATAAATTAATGGACATTTCTGGTTCTGTGGCTAAAATGTTTGAACATGCGAAAGCTTCTGGGAATCCTCCCAGCATTGATACTTTGAGAGGCTGAACCCAACGCATTATATGCTTTTTGGGGAATGCTAACGCAGCGCTGACCAGCGAATGCCGCAGGTCTATTTTAGTGAAAATTGACCCTCAACTGTCAAATTTAGCCACTTATGAACCTGGTTCAGCTGCGGAAGGTCTCCTATTCGGAGAATCCTTTATTAAAGACATTAATAAATATGTCAATCTATTTAGTTCCCTTGATAAGGCTCAGTCATCCCTGAGGAAAGTTTTCAACCCTAAAGTTTTCGGAAGGGCTGGAAGAGGAAGGCCCTCATATGACACCCAACAATCAACTCCATTCTTTCCACTACGTGGCAGACCTTGGAGATCAAGAGGCCATCGAGGAATGTTTCGCTTCAGATCTTCATCCAGTGAGTATGACAATCCCCCTTTCTTCCCTGGTAGGGTTAGGGGGCAGACTCACTCATTTTTTCCATGTCTGGAGTAAGATTACAAACAAATCTTGGATACTAGGCACGGTTCTAGGTTACAAAATAGATTTTATATCATGCCCCGTCCAAAGAAACATACCTTTCCCGATAAATTTTTTGACCCAAGGCCATGCCCTGGTGCATCAAGAAATATAAGTTTATGCTCAAAAAAATGCCATCATACAGGTGCCCATGAGCAGCCCAGGCTTCACAAGCAATTTATTCTTGGTGAAAAAGAAAGATTCTGGTCACAGAGCAGTCATAAACTTGAAATACTTAAACAATTTTGTCAGATACCACCATTTCAAAATGGAGGGAATTTATTACCTCAAAGACCTATTGATATTCAACGACTGGTTGATCAAAATAGATTTGAAGGATGCATACCTCACGGTACCTATCCACCACTCATGTCAGAAATATTTACAGTCCCTATGGCAAGGGAAGAAATGGCAATTCAAATCATTGCCATTTGGTTTATCCTCTGCAACTTGGTGTTTCACCAAATTACTCAAACCAGTAATATCCCTACTTTGAAGCAGGGGAGTAAGAATGATAATTTATCTAGACGACATATTGATTATGTCACAGAGTGTGCAAACTCTTCAACTACATTCTCAATGGACATTGAATCTGTTAACAAGCCTTGACTTTGTAATAAATTACAAAAAATCGATTTTAATTCCCTCTCTTTTAGGATTTCTAGTGAATTCCAATTTAGCCACTCTCAGCCTTCCATCACGGAAATTGAAAACGTTCCAAAAGAGATCAGGTCAGTTCTAAAGAAGGAATAAATTTCCATCAGATCTTTAGCACGGATTGTAGGTCTTTTATCAGCCTCGATCCAGGCTATCTTTCCAGCCCCCCTTCAGTATCGGGCTCTTCAAAACTTCAAAAGAGAACATCTACGCAACGGTCTCCTCTATTTAGACGAGATTTCTCTAACTTCAGAGACAAGAACAGAACTATCCTGGTGGTTAGATCACGTTCAAATTTGGAACGGGAAAGCCATTTTCACGTCATTCCCAGACCTAACTATAGAATCCGACGCAAGTCGATTAGGCTGGGGAGCTCGTTGTGGAGGCAATTCCACAGGAGGCAAGTGGTCTCTAGAAGAGACGAATATGCATATAAACTGCCTGGAACTCATGGCAGGGTTTTTCGCTCTACGCAGTTTTGCGAAACACAAATCCCATTGTTGTATCCTTCTCAAGATGGACAACATATCAGCAGTCCAATATATAAATCGCTTAGGAGGTACAAAATCCAAGCAACTGGTGGACATTGCCAAATAATTATGGCATTTTTGCCTCGATCGAAACATAACGTTACGAGCAGAATACCTTCCAGGCCTTTCCAATACAGTAGCAGATTGGAATTCCCGTTTCCTAGTGGATTACAGCGACTGGATGTTGGATCCCAACATCTTCCAACGACTACTTGCTCTGTGGGGTCCATTTCAATACGACCTCTTTGCATCACGACTCAATCACCAACTAGAAACATTTTTCAGTTGGCGTATGGATCCAGAAGCAGTAGATCAAGATGCTTTCCTCCAATGTTGGAATGACGGAATCAATTATGCTCCCCCCGTTTACGATGATATCCTGGGTACTTCTGAAAGCATGGTCCCGTCCCAGAAATCGACCTTAGTAGTTATAACCCCTCTCTGGCCATCACAACCATGGTTCCCTCAGCTTCTCAGCATGCTGATAGACTACCCACGACTCATACAGATGCGTCAGGATTCTCTATGCGATCCGGAGGGAAATTTTCGTCCTCTAGTGCTGTCAGGCCAACTACCCTTGATTGCATCTCTCATTTCGGGTCATTCAAATCTCATAGTGAATTTTCAAACACTACTAGAGACATTCTCTCAGAAGCATGGACACTGGGAACTCGTGCAAATTACAGATCAGCCTGGAAAATTTGGCTTAATTGGTGCATGGGACGGGCAGTGGATTCCATACATTCAGATTTAGCAAACATTCTAAATTTTTTGTCAGCCTCTTTTGACTCAGGGAAAGCTTATCGCACCATTAATGTCTATAGATCTGCTATCTCAGCAAATTACGACCCTATTGAATGTTTCCCTGTGGGTAAACATCCTCTAGTCTGCAGACTTATGAAGGATATCAGATTTAAACGTCCTCCATGCCCTAAATATAATATAATATAAATGTTACTCTGGTACTCCAGTTGAAATAATCATGGGGTGCCAATGACTCATTATCCTTAAAATTGCTTTCGTTTAAGCTTACCACATTACTATGTCTCATCTCTTTCAAAAGAGTTTCTGACGTTAAGGCTTTAGACTTAAATCATAGACAATATACTCCTGATTGTGTTAATTTTTCTATTGTTAGACGTACCAAAACTAATCTTCGCACTGTATTCTATCATTTATTTTGTGACCATCCTCTTCTATGTGTTGTTAGTTGTCTTCAAACATATGAGTTTAAGAGTTTAAAACCTCTTTGATTCGAAATTCAAATTTCTCGCAATTACTAATCTCTTTTCGTAAACCTTTTCTGCCTGTCTCCTCTTAATCTTTAGCTAGATGGGTACGACAAACTATGTCTATTGCAGGTATTAATATTTCAATGTTTGGAGCTCACTCATCAAGAGGAGCTATGACTACTAAAGTGTTTCAAGCAGGAGGCTCTTTATCAGATATGTTAAAAACTGCAGATTGGTCTTCAGAATCTACATTTAAACAGTTTTATTTTAGAACTTCTGATGTATTTTATATTATGACTATTTAGCTTTGAACATGCATAATACGAGCCTCCTGTCTTGTTACAAAATTCAAGATTTTCCTAGTCTAAGAAGATATAGATTTTATTAAAGACAGGAGGCGAGTATTATCCCTCCAATTAACCCACCCTGTTATTTATATTTCAGCTTAATCCTGTTTAAAGTTTCGTCATTCTATCCTTGGAGTTACTCTACTAGACACTTCTTCTAGATTCGCAGCTCGAAAGAGGGAGAAAATTAGGGATTTTATTAAGACACGGAGGCTCCTATTATGCTGCACTCTTTCTTTATTTCCCTCAGCAGCAAAGAAAAAACTTTATAAAACATAACCAATAATAACATTAACAGTTTTAGGTGTAATCTTCCTAGTAACAGAAACAGCCAATCAGGATCCACTTCTCCAGCATAATAGGCTCTGTCAACCAATCCTGTTCCTCTTTCTTTGCTGCTCCCTCAATTAAGTATATCTGATCCCTCAGGCTCCTTAACTGTGGGATTAGTTTTATATTGAATTACTTTATATTGAATTACTTTTATATTGTATTAATATTATATTGTATTAATTTCCTAGCATTCATTTCATAGTATTAATTTTATAGTATTAATTTTCTAGTGTTAATTTTTTATATGTGCTACTTTATTACTTTTTACTTGGTATTATTGATGTGCTACTGTAGGAAACATTTCTAGGGACATCCTTCATAGTTGTCCCTTTATTATTTTATTCTGCTGAATTTTCCCCTTTAAGTTTTTCCCCGCTCCAGCCGCTCGCCCCTCAGAGCCTAATTTGCAGGGGCTCGGGGACGTCGGCTGGAGCCGCACCCGGCGCTTCGTGCCCTCCTGCCGTGCCCGACCGCCGACTACAGAGCTCACTGAGCTCAGTTATCAGCTCCCTGCTCGCGGCGTACTTGTGCGCGCTGAGCGCTACACATTTCGCCGCGAGCAGGGCTTACCGGACTCTCTGCCTCCTCTGCACTGCTCCGGCGGCCATTTTCTGTTTTTCCTGCACGCCGCACGTAGCTCCACCCCCAACTCCCGGTCCTCGGAGTTGGGTTGCAGCTACAGTGGCGGTCGGACGGCTCCTTGCCCCCTTCCTCACCTGTCTCATTTAATTGTGCTTCTTGTTTTTGTGAGTACTCATTTTTCTCTTAAAGGTATATTTCCCCTTTCTATCTTTGGGTTACTCAACCCATCTAGGTCAGCTCAGTTCATTTATTTAAAGGGCCAGTGGTATACATAACATGCCTGGGGACAAAGATGTACCCTCTGGGTCTCTTGTCAATAATTTGGGGTCTGTTAAAACTACCCCAGGGGTATCTGAAATTGGTGCAACTAACCCCGCTGATTTTGAATCTACTGCTGATATGCAGCTTATGTTTGACAACACCATGTCCCATGTGGTGACTAAGGCCCTCACATCAGCAATGGGACTGATGTCTGAATCGCTATCACAGACTATTACTCACGCTATACTTGGGGCACAAAAGTCGACCCAACCGGTCGCTACCCAGGCTTTGCCTGCAGTAACCCCTTCCCAACCTCACATTGGCCGCAAGGCCACTGCAAAAACTAAACACTCTTCAATCTCACAGATGGACAGCTACACACCTGTCACAGATGGCGCGCCTAATATACCACCGCACAAAAGAGCCACTAGCCGGGCAAAATCGGCTAGGTTATGGAAGCGGGCAAAAGCCCAACTAGAATCTGAGTCTGATCTCAGCGAGATTGAAGAGGTCACTGATATGGATTCGGAGGATCCATCAGATCCCCAATCAGAGGGTATGACCCGACGGCGACCATGACCCGAGTACACAGATTGCACCACCATCTGAGTCGTATGACATGGAGCTTAAAGTACCAGACGATGCCACCAGATTGGTTGACCCCTACGGGGAACCTCTGTTCGACCCCGATGACCTACGTCATCCAAGGTCAGCGGACTGGTCACCTTCGGCCCATGTGGCCAAATACGTGGCATCGCGGACTCGCAAACCTTTAAATAAGGTGACACGAAGCAAATTGCGGGCAGAATGCCCACGCCCCACTGTCCCTGACGAGGCCTGCAGAACACCTGCAGTTGACCCGAAAATCATTCAATTCTTGGGCAAGACTGGCTGGAAGCCTAATAAGGGCCTTGATTTCTCCCTGCGCAACTGCCAGGACAAGATTTTAGACATATTGGGCCCGGCAACAAAAATTTTTGATATGGTCGAAAGTGACCAAGAATTAGATCGTTCCGCCATAAGTGGTTGGATACAAAGAGTGATTTGCCTGATCGGCAATGCCAACTGTGCGGTGGCCACAGAGCGTCGCAAAGCGATTTTATTAAAGATAGAACCAAAACTGGTGAACATGGCTATAACCGAACCGGGCGCCCAGGCCCATGGCCTCCTGTTCGGAGACAACTTTGTCAAGGAGCTTGGCTCCTTTGTTCACACTTTCACTGCCCTAGACAAAGCGCAGTCAAGCATGCGCAAGATTTTCCAGCCAAAGGTTTTTGGTGGGGCCGGAAGAGCCAGGAGCCGTCTGTCCGGCCGTGTCAATAGGGGCTCGTTCCGACAGAGCCGTGGCTCCTACACTGGACATGCCTCCTTCACGGAGCACCGCAACGCCCCGGTTTTCTTCCCACAACGTGGGCGACCATGGGTGGCTCGTGGACCACGTGGCTCCCGCCCAGGCAGACGACCTTATGGTAAGTACTCTCCTACTTCCTTCTTCCCTATGGGCAGTGGGGGGCAGACTCCGACATTTTTCCCATGTATGGTCACACATCTCGTCAGATGCTTGGGTACTGAACACGGTCAGAGGGTACACCTTAGAGTTCATATCCCTCCCGATACAACTCTCCCCGCCACAGGGCATGCTGTTTTCTCATCAAGACGCCTCCCTTGTAACCAAGGAGGTCTCAGAATTGGCACACAAACGGGCCATCTTAGAGATCCCCATGGCTACCCCAGGGTACGTAAGCAACCTATTTTTAGTTGCCAAAAAAGGCGGCGGCGTCAGCCCAGTTATCAACTTGAAACAGCTCAACACTTTTGTGGCCTACAACCACTTCAAAATGGAGGGCATACACTGCCTCCGAGATCTCCTCCAACCGTTGGACTGGATGGTCAAGTTAGACCTGCAGGACGCCTATCTTACGATACCAATCGCACGTCAGCACCAGGACTTCCTCCAGTTCATATGGCAGGGAAGGAAATGGAGATTCACATGTCTCCCTTTCGGTCTGTCCTCAGCCCCATGGTGTTTCACCAAACTTATGAAGCCTGTGGTGGCTCTGCTTCGAAGTCGAGGGGTTCGTCTCAATCTACCTGGACGACATCCTTATCATGGGTCGTTCCAACCACATTCTCGACACCCATCTGTCATGGACTCAGACTCTTTTGCAAAATTTGGGTTTCCTTATCAATTGGAAAAAATCCATCCTAACCCCTACACGACACATAGAGTTTTTGGGCCTCATCGTGGACTCCACTCTACAGACCCTACAACTGCCGGCAGCGAAACTGTCCACCATGAAGAAGGAAATCAGGCGTACTCTGACGACCCCCCTGATCTCCCTAAAACAATTGGCGAGAGTGGTCGGCCTCTTGGCGGCTTCCATACAGGCCATTTTCCCGGGCCCTTTACACTATCGAGCGCTACAGCGCCTACAAGCCTCCCATTTGAGAGACGGGACCGCATACACGGACATGATCGCTCTGGATACAGAAGCAAAGACAGAACTCAGATGGTGGCTATCCCATATGGACGCCTGGAATGGCCGAGCCATTTTCGGTACCGAACCGGATATGATCATAGAATCCGATGCGAGCTTGCACGGCTGGGGCGCACGCTGTGGCACTGTTTCTACCGGTGGCAGGTGGGCCGAAGTGGAGTCGATGCTTCACATCAATTGCCTAGAACTCCTGGCCGGTTCTTTTGCAATCCGCAGTTTTTCTCCAACTCAAGCCCGATGTGCCATCCTTTTGAGGATGGACAATGTATCGGCAGTCCGTTATATAAATCACTTGGGCGGCACGAAATCGAAGGTCCTGGCGAATTTGGCACGAGACTTGGCAATTTTGCCTGGCACACGGCATTTCGGTCACAGCAGAGTACATTCCGGGCCTCAACAATACCACGGCGGATTGGTACTCAAGGCACCTCAGGGATTCCAGCGACTGGCACCTGGAACCCAGGGTCTTCCAAGACATCCAGTCCCTATGGGGTCCTCTGGACAAGGACTTGTTCGCTTCCCGTTTGAACACCCAACTCCCCAGATATTTCAGCTGGAGACCGGACCCGGCAGCACTGGCAACAGATGCCTTTACTCAGGACTGGTCCTCCAAAAGGAACTACGCGTTTCCTCCCTTTGCGTTGATTCCCCGCTGCCTACTACAACTACGGCGACAGACGGGAACGGCAGTGCTCGTGGCGCCATTATGGCCGTCTCAACCATGGTTTCCTTCCCTGTTGGAGATGGCGATAGACGTACCCCGTACTCTCCCACACTTCGATTACCTACTTCGAGACCCGGACGGGTCCCCCCACCCCCTGGTTCAGCAAGACTTATTACACCTCATGGTGTGGCTGATTTCTGGGAACCTTACTCAATCGAAGGAGTTTCGGAATCAACTCTCCAACTTCTCGAGAGCGCATGGGCACCCGGCACAAGACAAGCTTATAAATCTGCTTGGCGCAAATGGCACGATTGGTGCATGGAACGGAATTTGGATCCCATATCAGCTCCTCTGACTTCGATCCTGCAATTCTTAACCTCCTTGTTTGAAAGCGGCAAAGCATATCGCACGGTGAACCTCTACAGATCAGCCATTTCAAACTCACACCAAGGCATCGAGGGCGCACCGATAGGACACCATCCACTGATATGCCGACTCTTGCGCGGCATCAGATTCACAAGACCTCTGCTACCACGCTATTCTGTACTGTGGGACGTCTCCGTCATCCTCAACCTCCTCGAATCTTGGCCAGATAACGCAACACTATCTCTGAAACACCTGTCGGCGAAACTGGTTATGCTACTATGTCTCATATCCTGCAAACGGGTATCAGACGTTAGAGCCTTAGACGTCACCGCACGGTCTTATACTCCGGAAGGGGTCGCTTTCGATATATCTCGGAGAACAAAAACCTCTATGAAGAAGGTGACATATCCAGCCTTTCCTGACAAACCTCGCTTGTGTCCGGTTCAATGTCTGCGAACCTATGAACTTCGCACCAAGGCGTTGCGGGACCCGTCTAGGCATGAACTCTTCATCTCCTTCCAGAGACCACACCTACCTGTGTCTACCACGACCCTGGCTCGCTGGGTCAAATGGATCATGGCTACGGCAGGCATAGACACTTCCATATTTTCGCCACATTCCATACGAGGAGCAATGGCTTCAAAAGCCTCTTCGATGGGTTGTCGCCTGGAAGACATTCTGAAAGCAGCCGACTGGTCTTCAGAATCTACCTTCCGTGACTTTTACTTCAAACCAATACACCACTTTGCAGGAACGGTAGTTTCTCAGCTTTAAACCAGCATAATAGGAGCCTCCGTGTCTTAATAAAATTCACAGATTTTACTATTACCATGACGTAAAGTCATGATTTTATTAATGACACGGAGGCGAGTATTATCCCTCCCTCCCACCCGGCGACGGGGGAAGGATAGACGGAAGTTGGGTAAGTTGACCTACGGTAAGTCATTTTACCATGTCTAGTTGTTACAGTTGTAATCGCCAGATGGTTACATTACAGTTATACTTAGATCAAGGTAAGTCTTAGCTACGATCACTGATTACCTATCTGGACACCCACATTTATAGGTTACACAACAATATTCACTTGGACACAACACTGACCAAACACTATCTTGAATACCTATGACTATGCATACACTAAGTTTTATGCAAAGATATTACCATATTTTTCCTCTCTTACAGCATAATCTGCCCATCTATTCCGGGAATACCATGTTCTATGCAGTTCAACGTTTTATTGGATAATTTTACTTCTTCGGGATTGCAAACAAAGAGGAACAGGATTGGTTGACAGAGCCTATTATGCTGGAGAAGTGGATCCTGATTGGCTGTTCCTGTTACTAGGAAGATTACACCTGAGACTGTTAATGTTATTATTGGTTATGTTTATAAAGTTTTTTTCTTTGCTGCTGAGGGAAATAAAGAAAGAGTGCAGCATAATACTCGCCTCCGTGTCATTAATAAAATCATGACTTTACGTCATGGTAATAGTAAAATCTGTGAATTATTTACTATATGGACTATGCTGGATGCTGATTGGCTACCAACGTTCCATTTCAGTTACTCTGTTGTTTTTATCTTTTTTATTCACTAAACTTTATTGAAAAAATGTCTTTGCTGCTGGAGTTAAGTAAAGAAAGTTAATGCATAATACTCGCCTCCTGTCTTTAATAAAATCTATATTTTCTGACGTCAAGACTAGGAAAATCTTGAATTTTAATCAAAACACCGCACAGTGGATGATGATAATTACACAGTAGAGTAGACACACAAATATCACATCAGCATATTCTCTTTGCAGAAGTTATGATGGAAAGAGCTTCTCTGCCACTTTGTCCCCGCAATGTTATAACTGCACCAAGTGTAAAATCAGATATATCACTGTAAGAAGCTGATGCTTTATCCTGTCAATTCAAGTACCTGTATTGCATATGCTTTCTGAGAAGCTGCATGCGATACAAGTTCCTCTTTTTACAGGCTCCTACATATACACTGATCAGACACAACATTAAAACTTTGATTATATCATTAAAATGGCACCTGTCAAATGCTGGGATATATTAGGCGGCAAGTGAACAGTCAGTTTTTGAATTTCATGTGTTGGAAGTAGGGAAAATGGACAAGTGAAAAGATCTGAGTGACTTTGGGCCAAGTAGTGATAGTTAAATGACTGGGCCAGAGCATTTCCAAAATGAGTCTTGTAGGATTATTATTATTATTTTATTATTTATATATGTTCCTGGTATGCAGTGATTAGTACCTACCAAAAGTGGTGCAATGAAGGACAAGATGTGAACTGGAATTAGGTTCATAGGCGTCTAAGACTCATTGATCCACATGGGGGTGGGGGGGGGGAAGGGGTGAGGGGGTGAAGGCTAGCCCATCTTGTCTGGTCACACAGAAGAGGTACTGTAGCTCAAAATGCTGAAAAACCTACTTCTAGTCATGATAGAAAGGTATAAGAACACACGTGCATTGAGTATAAGGCTGAGTAGTTGCAGACCGGTCAGAGTGCCTATGATGACCAGGGCTGTTGCAAGGACTTTTGACTACACAGGCAAAGATAAATTAGGAGTCTTTCAAAATATGTAACTTGGAAATCTGTTTGGTATCCATGAACACTCCCAACATTGAGTGCATAAAGTTTAGTATAAATTGACAACTAAAAAACTAAATATGGGTAAACTGGTTAGGGTCTGTGCTTATGCTTAACATTTTCGTATTGTTTAGTGAAGCCATTCTTTTTTGTTAATTAAAATAACAACACACAGATTGTAGTAAATTAATTTTATTGTTTATTTTTAATAATTAAAATAATTTGGCATTTTAAATAATTTTGCAGGCTATATTGTGAAATAACTAAATAAAAAAATACTCATTTCAGTTATACTTGGTACAACTGATGTTCCTATATTTTGATTATATTTCCACATATTTTTTGCACTATTTTATTTAAATTAGCATACCATTCTGCCTATTTGTGAATATGCATTACCTAAGTCAGGAGTCAGCAACCTATGGCACATGTGCCATGCATTTCATTTGAGGTGCCTTTGCACGGCACTCAGGGATGCTGGAGCCAAACAGGCTCTGGCCTATCAGGAGTCCCAATGGAACTTCAGCTATCTGCTTTTGCAAAAAGGTGATGAGGGACAATCCTCAATTTACACACTGCAGCCCTCAGAGGAAGTGATCTCAAATCTTCCTCCCAGCACTTGTGAACGTGAATCCGCACTGGAGTAGAGCAGCCCACAGCAGCTCCTGCCCTTGACCTGGCCAACCCAGCCTCCACTGGACCCCAGGGAAGCCTCCAACACAACTAGATACACACCACTGACAATCAACACACGTGCACACAACCCAACAAGCAGCTTCTCAGCCCACAATAGCCCACATACGCGTATATACAACACTGCAAAGCAACTGCAGCACCCATAAATTCAAGCATAATATGGCAACATACACACCTCTATTAAAAAAAAATAGGACCAGCACACCAAGGGACTTCAAGATTTGGCACAGTTTGCACTATTTTCTTAAACACCAATGTTGTAACAATTTATTATTATTATTAATATTATGTTATTATTTATATAGCGCCAGCATATTCCACAGCGCTTTACAGTGGGTGGATGAACAAACATGTAGTTGTAACCAGACAAGTTGGACACACAGGAACAGAGGGGTTGAGGGCCCTGCTCAATGAGCTTACATGCTAGAGTGAGTGGGGTAAAGTGACACAAAAGGTAAGAATAGTATTAGACTAATGACAGTTGCAACAGTGGAATCACTCGGGAGCTATCAAAAGTTTAATTGATATGCTTTTATGAAGAGGGTTTTTAATGATTTTTTTGAAGGAGTGGAGACTGGGTGAGCATCTAAAGGAGGAGGGAAGTGAGTTCCACAGAAATGGTGAAGCCCTCAAGAAGTCTTGAAGGCAAGCATCAGAGGTGGGAGTACAGACAGAAGATAGACGTAAGTCTTCAGCAGAGCATAAGGGCCTAGACGGGACATACTTGTGTATTAGGGAGGATAGATAGGTGGGAGCAGCATTATGTAGAGATTTGAAAGCAAGAACAAAAATTTTAAATTGAGCCCTATATCTTACAGGAAGCCAATGTAGGGACTGACAAAAGGGTGAGGCGTGGGAGATGTAGGCGGACAGGAAGATGAGCCTCTCCACCGCATTCATTATGGAGTGTAACGGCGCAAGTTGGGAGCACATAAGACCACTGAGAAGCTGATTACAGTAGTCAAGGCGAGAAAGGACAGTGGAATGGACCAACACCTTAGTTGCATCTGGCGTTAAGTAGGGTCAGATGCGCGCAATATTTTTAAGATGGAAGCGGCAGGATTTGGTGATAGACTGAACATAAGGTGTGAAGGAGAGGTCAGAGTCAAAGTGAACACCTACGTAGTGAGCCTGCGTGGTGGAGCTGATGGCAGCACCGTTGACTTGGAAGGAGACAGACACAGGAGTAACAACACTTGAGGGAGGAAAGACCACAATTTCAGTTTTGGTCAAGTTTAGTTTAAGGAAGTGGGCAGCCATCCAGTTAGAAATAGCAGAGACACTAGTCAAGAGGGACGGGGAGAGATCAGGAGAGGACAGATAGATTTGCGTGTCATCCGCATAGAAATGATATTGGAAGCCAGAGGAGCTAATGCGTTTACCAAGGGAGGCAGTATAGATGGAGAACAGTAGGGGATCAAGGGCTGAACCTTGGGGGACACTAACAGAGAGTAGTTGGGGAGAAGAAGCAGAGCCAGAGAAAGAAACACTGAAAGAGTGCTGGGAGAGGTAGGAGGAGCACCAGGAGAGAGCAATATCTTGTAGACCGATATTGCGGAGGATGAGAAGAAGCTGTTGATGATCAACAGTGTCAAAAGCAGCAGAAAGGTCAAGGAGAATTAGGATAGAATAGCGACCATGAGATTTTGCAGCGAGTAGATCATTGGATACTTTGGTCAGTGCCGTTTCCACAGAGTGCTTAGTGTGGAAACTAGACTGAAGTGGGTCTAGCAGAGAGTTGGACTCAAGGAAGTCTGTCAATCTCGCATACACAACTCTTATAAGGATCTTGGATGCAAAAGGCAGTAGCGAGATAGTTTATAAAATTTGTCCTCTTTATTATACAAATCATATATTTTAAAATAAATTGAAAAGTATGCTATGCAAAAAAACAACAGAAAAACCCCAACATATTCTTTGTGTACAAGTATGGTTAAATAATCATCAAATGTTTCTTGATCTGATCTTATATGCTGCATTTGGAAAGTGGATTTATTTATTATTGTATCCTGTAGTACCAAACATCCCTACATTTCAGTGGCCAGATATTTTCTTGAGACATGCTGTACAAAAGCATATATTGTATAATTATTGCTATTTACAACAGTTGAAATTTGCAAACACATTGATTGCATCCAAAGGGTTCAGTCACCAAGCTGTGCTATATGATGAAAATTAATAAACCATTTGTAAGATAGCCAAGTTGGGTTTTTGTTTAACAATATTACTGTGATAGACCCAGCACCATGGGAGATCAGTGCTGGAATTGGTAAGTGTTAAAAGATTTTTTTAACCCTTGCAGTGCCGGCAGGGCCGGATTAACATGGGGGCTGATGGAGCTGCAGGCCCAGGCCCAGCCCCATGGAATAGGCCCATTTATTTAAAAAAAAAAAAACAATTTAAATTTTTTTTTTTTTTTTTACATACTACTCTTAGGGTTGCCAGGTATTTCTCATGTATTTCTTATGGATGCCAGGTATTTCTCAGAAGTATTTCTCAGGTATTTGAGGCTGCCTAGCCGGTGCAGGTAAACAGAGATTATTCTGCAATACCAGCGCTGGCCAGTAGGGGTCGCCGCTATTTGTGTGGAGAGAAGCAGGGATAAGAAGTTACAGCATCTCCCTCCCTGCCTCTCTCTACACACTGATCCACGAGGGAGCAGCTCTGCACAGAGAGTCCAGACAGCAGCTCCAAGCCTGCGAGACATGGGGACGGTGAGAGACTAGGGGATGCTGAGACATTGGGACACTGGGGAACATGGGGACCCTGAGACACTAGGGACACAGTGGCCACATGTCTCCCAGTGGCCCCTAGTCTCTCAGTGTCCCCATGTCTCCCAGCCAGTGTCGCTAGTGTCTCAGTGTCTCCATGTCTCTCAGTGTCCCCATGTCTCTCAATGTCCCTGGTGTCTCTCAATGTCCCTAATGTCCCAGAGTCCCCTAGTAATTCTCTCAGTGTCCCAATGTCTCTAAGTGTCACCTATTGTCCTAGTGACATCAAACCACTTTGAGACATGGGGACACAGACTCTAAGGGACACTAGTAGTATAATATAAAAGAAAAAATCTCAGGCATTCACTGTGATAGATTTAAGCAGGTTTATTGGACACCACAACATTTTGACCTGTACCCATATCTTTATCAAGTCTCCAGTGTCCACTATGTATCACAGTGTCCCCTATGTATCAGAGTGTCTCAGTGCTCCATGTCTCCCAGTGTCCCTGGTGTCTCTCAGTGTCCCAGTGTCCGTAGTGTCTCAGTGTCCCCTAGTCTCTCAGAATCCCCTAGTCTCCCAGTGTCCTCATGTCTCACAGTGTCCCCAAGTGTCTCAGTGTTCCCTAGTATAAAAGAAAGAAATCTCAGGCACTCACTGTGATAGATTTAAGCAGGTTTATTGGACACCACAACGTTTTGACCTGTACCCAGGTTTTTATCAAGTCTACAGTGTCCCCTATGTATCACAGTGTCTCAGTGCCCCATGTCTCCCAGTGTCCCCTCATGTCTCAAAGTCACCCAGTGTCCCCATGTCTCCCAGTGTTCCCAAGAGTCTCAGTGTCCCCAGGTCTCCCGGTGTTCCCTAGTATCTCAGTGTCCCCATGTCTACCAGTGTCCCAATGTCTCTCAATGTCCCCTAGTATCCTAGGGACATGGGGACACTGGGATACATGGGGACACAGACATGCCCCCTTTTTGTGTATGTTCGCCCCTTTCGGCAGTTCTGGTTACGTGATTTGTTTCAGTGGCCCACCCTTTTACCCCATCCATAGGCTTCATGCTTTACTGGACACTGCTGTTAGGGGCTATGGGTTTACTTGAAAGATGAAAGCGTGAGATTAGCATACAGTATTTGTTTCCCTCCAGCTCACCTCCATCAGATACATGACGCTTAGGAGGTAGGACTGTTTTAGTGCTTTTGGTCGATAAGATTTTGTAACTAGGCCCATAATAATTGTCAGCACCAGGCCCACTGGGCTCTTAATCTGGCCCTGAGTGCCGGGATGCAGGGGGGTTGGGGGGGGGGGAACAATGGTGTAAGAAATACAGATTTGTATTCCATGGCTTGTTAGTTGACCCATGTTGTCCACATTAATATATTTAGATCATCTTGGCCCATGTGTGCCACTTAATTAGTCATTCTTCTTGAGGACTAGCTATAGCTTCCAATAGGGACCAAGTGTCCAGTGATTGCTACTACTAATTTAGAATATCCTGCAATATGACAAAAATGAATGTAAAAAGGTAAAACATTCCTAGAAATGTGCCTGTTTAAAATGTATACATGAGATATACTTACAAGTAATATAATTACATGCCACTTGTTCTTAACTCATAATATGTTAATGTGCATCTGTACAATTTGTGAATGTGTTTCCGGAGATGATAAATCAGTCCTTTGAAATTAAGTATAAACAAAAAGATACTAATAGGAAGGTAACTAAAAGTAATGTGGATACATTCAATCAGGCAATCTCCCTCCCACCCCCCATCCCATGTTGCTGAAGGGGTGAAAACCCCTTCAGTGACTTACCTGAGACCACCGGCGATGTCCCTCGGCGGTGGTTTAGGGTCCGCCCACGCTCCTCCCCAGCCGACGTCAGCCAGTGGGGGAGAACGATTACGCAGGCGCGGCTGCCGGCAGGATGAGACCTAATGCGCATGCGCGGCACTGCCACGCACGCGCATTAGACCTCCCCATAGGAAAGCATTGTAAATGCTTTTAATGCTTTCCTATGGGGATTTTAGTGACGCTGGAGGTCCTCACATAGCGTGAGGACGTCCAGCGACGCTATAGCACAGACCTGTGCTATAGACCAGGAAGTGCCCTCTAGTGGCCACTAGAGGAGGAGTTAACCCTGCAATGTAATTATTGCAGTTTATGAAAACTGCAATATTTACAGTTGCAGGGTTAAGGGTAGTGCGAGTTGGCAGCCAGACCACTCCAATGGGCAGAAGTGGTCTGGGTGTCTGGAGTGTCTCTTTAAACCCAGTCCTAACTCTTGATTTACTTGTTAAACTCCCAATGTTGAGTTTGATTTGCTCACACTGCATTGTAAACCAAAAAACAAAAACAAAAAACATTGTGCCTTAACAGTCTTTTCAACTACATCACAGGTTGAATGTTACAGACAGCCAACGGCATTGATAATGCAAATAGGTGAAAGGTGCATCACCGCTGTGTTAGATATAAATAATAATGCTTTTGCCCCAAATTTACCGTTAATAATAGAATTTTGGCACAATTTGTGGTCTTTATTTATCTTTATATCAGTAGAAATAACAGTTTTCTGCAACTTTGAATTACAGACATTCTTGTTTATCTTTCTCATTCCTCAGAGCCTAATCTGTCTGTCACTGATTCCTTGGAACCTAATCTGTCTGTCTCAGACTCTTTCGAGGACAACTTGTCTGTTTCAGCTTCATCCATTAGATAGCTTGCATCTGTGTTGTTGGCTGGACATGCGGTCAACTCCTTCTCGGTTATTGGGTCTTCTGCGTGTGCAACCAGTTCTAAACTGGAAAAAGAAGTCAAATATCAAAATAGGGAGAATTAATCAAATTTACCATGTTAGTATCAAATAAAAACAATTATAATGACATGTAGGCATCAAATCACACTATGATATTATTAGTCTAAAGATAGGGCAGTGTAACATTTTACATTGGAAGGATGGAACATGTGGGGGTCTAGGGGTGGGGTTTATTAAAGGACCATGTAAGCCTCCCGTGTTCTGACACTTGATAAACATAAAGCCCTGCACATGCACAGACAATGTGAAACTGCTCAGGCATGCAAAGAGTCCTGCATGGTCACTAAGGTAGATCAATTTTGTATTGCTTCAGTGCATGCAGTTTCAAGCATTTGTATGTATTTAGTTCAATGTTTCTAATAAACAGCATACCTAATAATTAAAATTATAAATCAGGGAAACCTCATGTTAGAATCCCTGGTTTGGTATTTCATAAAACTAAGTAATTGATTGAAAGAAATGTCTTCAACAGTAAACAATGTGTGAGAAGATTGCTGCAATATAGCAAACGATAACCATTTAACCGTCAATTCAATGATATAAAAGGGTTTATTTATCCATTGCCAAAAATAAACATAAAACTGACAGTTATATCTATATGCTAATTAGATATTGTGATCCTAAAAATAAAGCCAACAGGTGATATATTGTGTCTCTATATATTCCCTATTGGTATAATAAACATCCCTTCAGAATCATTTCATAATTACAATATCCAAATAATCTGGAACAATCGTTGAAAAAAAGAGAGGGGAGTTTAATTGGGGAAACAAAACAGTATTTATTATAGGGGGAGATCACCTAAATTGTCAATTGGCTGTCATGGTAGTACAGGGGGTTATTGGAGTAGAAAAGTAGGGTAATAGTAATATAAGTATACAAAGCAAGATGATGTTGGAAGATCTGGAGAGATAGAAGGAGGGAGAAGGTAAGTAATGTTAAACACAGCTTAGGTAAGTATGGCAGTAATCAAAGGTATTATCTGGAGGCTTAAAAGTGCCTATTTCTATACATATATGCTGCTCCTTATCCTGCAAAAATCCCACTTATCTATAGTCTGGACTATTAAAAAACAATCACTGTGGCAAAACTAGCTACTTAAGACTATAATTGTATGAATATGTTTATATGCCTTTAAAGCTGTTAGAACCAAGTGTATTCCTGTATCTACATTTCAGGCGAACAAGGGCATTCGAATGCTGGCGGCATGAAAACCCCAGCATTCATACTGTAGTTTCACGAACAGTGCGTTTCAACACTGTTCGTGAAACAAATAAACTATCGAATGGGCGACCACACACAGGAGGTTGGTAGTACAGGGGGTTATTGTCTCCCTAGGGGGCTGTCGTTCGGCTACCGACCACGCGGTGGTCAGCCATCTTGGTTCCTTTGTTAAGCCCAGCGGTATTTGGTCGTCGAGCGCCTGGAACTAAAATCGGCTACTCAGCGGCACGAATACCGCTGGACTTCCAGGCCGTTCGGGAGCCCCGGGCGTTCGGTAGTTTGTTCCCCTAATGTCAATCGGTACTTTGAATATAACTTGAATTTAATGTGTGTTTCGCGCGGCGTTCGGTTAGTTATGCTGGGATCTGAGCGGTATTCTCACGAACTGTATACCCAGACCCCAGCTATTTACCGAACGTCCATTCGTTTAAATAGAGCGAGTAATGTGAAAGTTATGGATTTTAATGTTAAATATTGGTTCTGTTGCACGGAGGGATAATCTACTTAACTGTATATTCTAGTAGGAGTATCCCTCTCGTCCAGCAGTGCATGATGGGAGAAATGTCCAGATTGTTAAGTCCCCCATGCAGTCCCCTACTGTACAACCCCTGCAATGTCAGTAGGGAAACCCCTTGCATGGGGACTTGCATAAATACTGTGACCTGTGAATAAAACCTCAGTTGACTCCCATCCTATGTGTCGTCTAGTTCTTGGGAGGGAAGGATTCTTACTACGATACTGGGATTATTGTATGATGTATTTATTTACTTGGATTATTTTATGCTGTTCCTGTTACCCAGCGGAGATACTGTGGATTATACTACCTCTCCGCTACAATCGCCAAAACCCCTCAATTACTGCACCTTCAAGGTTGCAAAAAGACCAGAAATAAGTATAAGCTCTTGCACCTACATGAGTTCTATTAGTGCATGATACTGATATCCTTTAGCACCTTCATGGATGCTAATGATATAAGTCCCTGTATAAACGACTGCAATGGAGTCTCCTATCTCCTACTATACATAGGTAAACCCTAACTTAGCCCCCTGGAGCATCCTCAGAAGTGATCCTGAAGATCAAGACAGCTTGTGATATATTGTGTCTCTATATATTCCCTCTTAGTATAATAAACATCCCTTCAGAATCAAGTCCTACTAATCTGGAGCAATTGTTGAAAAAGGAGAGGGGGGTTAAAATGAAAAAAGACAGTATTAAAATAGGGTGAGATCACCTAAATTGTCAATCGGCTGTAATGGTAATACAGGGGTTATTAGAGTAGAAAAGTAGGGTAATAATTGTAAGATAAGTATACAAAGCGAGATGATGTTGGAAGATCTGGAGAGATAGAAGGAGGGAGAAGGTAAGTAACTTTAGACACAGCTTAGGTAAGTATGGCAGTAATCAAAGGTAGCAATTATCTGAAGGCTTAAAAGTGCCTATTTCTATACATTTATACTGCTCCTTATCCTGCAAAAAGTCCTCGTTTCTATAGTCTGGTCTATTTAATACAATCGCCAAAATCCCTTCAGAATCAAGTCCAAATAATAGGGAGCAATCGTTGAAAAGGAGAGGAGAGTTAGATTGAAAAAATACAGTATTATAATAGGGAGAGATCACCTAAACTGTCAATTGGCTGTAATGGTAATGCAGGGGGTTATTAGAGTAGAAAAGTAGGGTAATAATTGTAAGATAAGTATAACAGATGCATTATTATTGGCAAAGAAGAGTTACCAGTTTGGACCCTTCCCTTTAATTCTTCACATAGAGATGGTGAATGGGGCCAGATAAATTCACAAGCCATACTTCATCATATTATTACACTTGTCATTCAATTCCATATTCCATTCCATGATCCCACATGCCATGCCATTCAATAGTCAATCCCACGATCATCTCATGTGACATCTCCTGATCCAAAATGCCATCGCATGTCACACACATAGTGTGTGGATGCAGAGTGTTGTGTGTTAGTGAAAATCAGGGAAAATGTAAGTTTGTATTTCTATGAGTGATTTTTTATGAATTTTGTTTTAGAATTTCAGCTACCTACTACATTGCTGCATATTCACCAGTATGCGCAAAGATTCAAAGGGAGGGGAGATAGTGTTGCATAATTTGTGTTTACTAAAACCCCTTCACTGACAGGCATCTTTTTAATATTTAAGTTTGTCTGCCAAGTACAATGTGTAGCAAGCATATAAACATACCAGAACACAGGAATATTGTGTATAGATCGCTTATCAGACAAACTTAATTTTTTTGTAAAATTTTTTATTTTTTATTACATCCTTATATAAAAAAAAATTGTGAAATGAAAAGTTTTACACAGTATAAAGTGTAATTTATCTTGCAATACTTCACACAGAGTCTGAAACGTTAGTATAAAAGCAAAAATGCAATTATCCTCACATACAGTAGGTGTGACAATGAAATGTAAATAAAAAATTATCAAACACTTGCCTGTATAGGTATTTGTAAGGACCCTGAAGGCATTAGTAGTAGTGCAGTTTACTAAACATTGCAACAGAATATAAAAAGAATGTCTGCATAATGCCCATTTACAGTTACAGTTAAAGGAACACTGTATTCCTATCACTCAGCCCCTGTGCATTGTAAAGGGTTAAATAACCCTTTAGTCACTTAGCCGTAGACACCAATAATGGCAGTCTTAGTACAGCAATCTAAACATTGCTATTTTTCTAAAACTGCAACTATTTTACATTGCAGGAATGAGGGGCCAGGGACAATGTACCCAGACCATTTTGATGACTTTAAGTGGTCTGGGTGTTTATAGTGTCCCTTTAAATCATATATTTCTAAAATAAAGATATTTAAAACTAAAACTACTATTGAAATGTTTATCAATGTTCTGAATGATAATGCTGACTGTGAAATGGCAGTCACGTAACTCCTCCCCCTCCCTGACTGTAAGAATGATATCACACAGTAAAACTTCCGGTACTGTTTGAAAGAGGGGGGTATGGTTACATTTTCAGCATCTTTACAGGCATTGTAACTAGTGGCTTCTGGCAGATATTGTTGTTCCTCTACAGCAAGCATGTCAAACTCGTGGCCCACGATGAATATCTCTGTGGCCCAGCGAGCTGTGAGTAGATGCTTACTGTTAAGGCAGAATAGGCACCTGCTCTCCCCACATCACAGGTGCCTAAAATGTACCCGGCCGGGAGGAGAGGAAGCAGGAAGCTGACGGCAGTGAGGGAGCACAGTCTGTTCTTCCTGCTCCTCACTGCTCGCGCGCTGTCAGGGATATGAAGGAAATACGTATATTGTGTGTAATAAATAATACATGCATGTAACGGATCACCTGGCACCCCGACTGGGTACCTCCGTTAAAGGATGCTCCTAGCGCTTCCTGAGGACTCCAAGCACTCTGGCAGACACCACAATCACCGAACCGGAGAAACAAATAAATTCTCCCAAGCATATGAATGCTGTAGACAGTTGAATAGGAACCATACGAATAGGTTTACTCTCCTAGCAGTCAAACTGGAACAGCATACAATAAATCCTTCCCCCAATAATGAGACGACACTTTACTTTGAGGGTTAAAACAGGAACTCAAGTGCTGGCACACCCAGCCTGGTTTTTATTACAGCCTTTCACATACAGGACCGCCCACAGGGAGGTATAAAACAACCAATCACATATCAATTACATCCCACATATTCCCTCCCCTTATCCTGAGAGGAAACTCAATTACACATACAGTTAAAACATACTTTCTACCCAACTTTCATAACTTTAAAACCATACATCACATTCACATAAAATTACATATTCACAATCAATCCATTCAGGGGAACAACATATTAAAAAATGGCATGAATCCGACCAGGGGTTCAAAAGTTAGTAAAAGTATCTTTTGGGCCCTGGCTGGCACATGGATATCTGGCTCAAACTGGTTTTACAGAGCCCCCTATCCTGGAGACAATGGGGAAAAGTAATCCAATTATCCAGGGATAGAGGCAGACTCCATTGAGCACATGGTTGCAAAAATACATAAAACACTTTAAAATACATAAAGTCAACTTTTGCACATAACACACATACATTTCACATATCCCCAGATAGCTGGGATCTGAGCGCACAAAACTACTGAATAGCGCTCAGATCCTATTCACACAGTTCAATTTCCATGGAGCCGAAGTCTTTAACTACACGAATGGGCTCCATGGCATAGCTATCTGGGTTAACACATTCACATAAAGTCTGGTCCATAGTCCAAAGGCAAGAGGTGGGCAAGCAGCCCCCTCCAAGGACACGTGGCGAGGCCGGTTTCGCCACAATGCTTAATAGCAAAAACGCAATTTCGCTAATATGCCATGAGGTGCTAAAATGAAGAAATCAGATGTTTTTCTCAAAGTATGACACTGTCAGCTAAAAGAGCCAGACAGTGAGTAAATACATCTGTGTCAATAAAAGATAAGGACACACAGATAAGACAAGTATGTGTTAATTAAAAGTATGTGTTCAGCAAACACACATATATCGCTATGATGTATATAAATTAAGTTTAATTATATATAAAGATAGAACTATAGTGTGATATTGTCACATGTTCATCCTCACCTTGTGGTGTCTCTGGGGATAACTACCTTCCCGCCATTGGTCGCTGCGGACCCATGCCTATTTGTAGCATCACGTTCTGCCGCGGTGTTAACGACGTCAACGTGCATATGACGTCGCGCAAAGGACGCGTGCGCACGTTCTGGGGTCAGAGGCCGGGTACAGCCAATCGGATTTAAAGGAGACTTATTTAAACTTGACTTTCCTCATGCCCTGTCGTGGTTTCCATTAGTGGTTGTCCGAGAGTGTGTTCCTGAGCGTTTATTTCTGGTTATTGACTTTGACTTTGTTTAACTTCCCTGTATTCTGGTACCCTTGACTTTTGGCTTTCCCACATAGTTGTGTCTCATTCTGTGTCCCCAACTTTGGCAATTATTCTGACTATTTTCTGGTACGTTAAGTCCGGCCATTCTAAGGCCCGGTAAGACGTTACCTTTAGTCCTAGGTGTAATACAGTTCTGCGTGCTGGATCAACTAATATCCTAACATTACAACAGGGCCGTAGATCCTGTAGAACTGTGTCAACAAATAGCAGCTTGCGAGAGAAAGCTAGAGGAGAATGATCACGGTATGGATCAGTTTTCCCAGGCTTTCAGTACGCTTCTTACTCGAACAGCGCATCTTCAGCCTAAGGTTTCTCCGACTATATCACCTCTGCCTAAAGTACCTCCACCTATAGTACATAAGGCACCTACTATCTCCCTATCGCCTCCCCCGCATTTTGATGGTAATATTCAAGAATGCTGGGGATTTCTGAATCGAATTGAGTACCACTTTGAGGCCTCACCGGGATCTTTTCCATCGGATAGAGCTAGGATTGGTTACCTAATGAACCAACTTAAAGGTAAAGCCTTAGCTTGGGCCAATACGTTATGGGAGAGTAATAGGAGTATTGCATATAATTACCAGGAATTCCTTGCGGAATTCAAATTAACATTTGAACCATTAGGCAGGGAGGATGACGCCTCCACTGCCCTAATGCATATCAAACAAAGGGAACCGGTCGATCTCAGATTATGCCATAGAATTTCGCTAGAATAGAACTGGACTAATAGCTGGTTAATCTCTACATTTAAAAAAGGATTATCCAATGCAATTCTGGATGAGATTGCTGCCAAAGATCTACCTAAAAGATTAAATGAGTTTATCACATTTGTCATGCAGATTGATAATAGACTTAGAACCAGAGAAACTACCTGAAATAGAACCAGACATATGGCTATGTTATTAGCACCTCGGTTCTCCAGACCTGTTGTTCCTGGCCTCTCTGTACAGTCCGAAACCAAACCTATGCAGTTGGGGGTCACTAGACTGTCAGTGGCAGAAAGACAATATAGGAGAAAAGAGGGTCTATGTCTATACTGCGGTAAAAAAAAGACATATGAGGAGTGCTTGTCCCAAACAACCAGAAAACTTCCGCACCTAAGAACCCTAAGGTCTTAGGTGTGATGAATATGTCCTCTGGGAATAACAAACATAGATTCCTCCTTGATATTATGGCCAAATGTATCAAGAAGAACATTTCATGCAAAGCCCTGATGGACTCAGGTGCGACGGGAGACTTCATTGACGTAAATGTTGTCAAAAAATATTCTATACCTATCAGGTAGAGATCATCACCTCTGGCCATTGAGGCTATTGACGGGAGACCTCGCTGTCAACCCTTCTTTACCTACGAAACCTTGCCTGTTAACATTTCCATTGGTGCCTTACATAAGGAAGACATAACATTCCAAATAATTGCTCCTCCTTTTTGTCCCATCATATTAGGATTTCCTTGGCTTATTAATTACAATCCTCATATTGACTGTGCAAAGGGGGAAATGTTGGAATGGGTTGTACTGAGAGATGTATGTTGTACATTACCAAAAGAGTGGGCATCATTACATTACCCACTACTATGCCTCTGGTCTCCGAAGTTCCTATTAAATCAGGGGTTCACTCTATCAAATGCTTTTTCTGTGTCCGTGGATAGCAGAAGTAGTTTTTTCTTTAGTTGTTTTGCTGTGTGTTGGATCACAAAGAGGCTGAGGGTGCTGTCTCTGGCCTCCATGCCCAGGATGAAACCTGTCTGGTCAGTCTTGGCATATATGTCTGTAGTCGGGATGATAGTATCTTTGAGAAAAGTTTTACGTCCGTATTGATGAGGGATATCGGGCGGTAGTTTCCCACCTGTTCAGTGTTTTTGCCCGGTTTCGGGATCCCCGTAATCGTCTCTTAGGCTGTTTAGTGCTACTACTAGTTTCGGTATCAGTTCATCGCTGAATTTCTTGTAGTATTCTACCGGAAAGTCGTCTGGGCCGGGTGCTTTTCCATTTTTTGCTGTCTTTAACCCCTTAAGGACCGAGGACGGTTCAGGACCGTCATCGGCATTTTTGCCTTGAGGACCGATGACGGTCCTGAACCGTCCAAACGGTCTGGGGCTACTTACCTGATCGCCGTCGTTCCCCCGGCGGCGATCAGTGTTCCTCCGGTTGTGGGGAGACTGCCTGCAGCCCAGACAGTCTCCCCACGGCAGATTAGGACCCCTGTGGCCATGTGATCGCTTAACACAGCGATCACATGGTCACAATAGGTGTCCATAGTGCTGCCTGCAGGGGGACTGCCTGTACTGACAGGCAGTCTCCCTGCAACTGTAAAATCAGAAAAAAAATTAAAGTTAATGGTAATAAAAAAAATAATAATAATTATATATGTATAAATATGATATATAGACATATATTATATCTATATAATATATGTCTATATATCATATATATATAATGTCATACTAAGTGTATTTTTATATTAATATGTACTTATATTAATATAAAAATACACTTATAATTAAATTACACACGTATATATATAATATATATAATAACTATATATATTGTATATATATATTATTATAAAATATAACTAATAAGTAATTTAAATTAAATATTTTTTTTTAAAAATAATAATAAAAAATTTAAAAAAAATTATATAGCTATATGAAATTTTATTCTAACTGTATTTTAAAATTAATATATATATATTTATATCAAAATACACTTAGAATGAATTTGTATATATATCTATGTATATAAAAATAAATAAAAATAATAAGAAATATACATACGTCCATATACAAAATTACATAAATAATTATATAAATATACACGTAGACTTCAAATATATAAATATGCATATATATTTAAATTCTACGTGCGTATTTATGTAATATTTTTACATAATTCAGTAATTTTATTGATTGCAATTTGAGGGACCTGCCTGCCAACCCAGGCCGAAATTCCAGAGAATTTAATTGGCTAGCACTGTATTTTACCCTGTAACGTTCTACGACACCCTAAAACCTGTACATGGGGGGTACTGTTTTACTCGGGAGACTTCGCTGAACACAAATATTAGTGATTCAAAACAGTAAAACATATCACAGCGATGATATTGTCAGTGAAAGTTACTTTTTTTGCATTTTTCACACACAAACAGCACTTTTACTGATGATATAATTGTTGTGATACGTTTTCCAGTTTTTAAACACTAATATTTGTGTTCAGCGATGTCTCCCGAGTAAAACAGTACCCCCCATGTACAGGTTTTATAGCATTTTTGAAAGTTACAAGGTCAAATATATGGGTCAAATATTTTTACATTGAAAATGGCCAGGTTGGTTACGTTGCCTTTGAGAGCGTATGGTAGCCCAGGAATGAGAATTACCCCCATGATGGCATACCATTTGCAAAAGAAGACAACCCAAGGTATTGCAAATGGGGTATGTCCAGTCTTTTTTAGTAACCACTTGGTCACAAACACTGGCCAAAATTAGCGTTCAATTTAGTTTTTTTACTTTTTTCACACACAAACAAATATGAATGCTTACTTTGGCCAGTGTTTTCGACTAAGTGGCTACTAAAAAAGACTGGACATACCCCATATTGAATACCCTGGGTTGTCTACTTTAAAAAAAATATGTACATGTGGGGTGTTATTCAGAGATTTATGACAGATAATAGTGTTACAATGTCACTATTGATAAATTTTAAAATGTATGTTTTAAACCGCAATATCCTACTTGTACCTATAGCCCTATAACATGCAAAAAAAAGCAAAAAAGCACGTAAACACTAGGTATTTTTAAACTCAGGACAAAATTTTGAATCTATTTAGCAGTTTTTTTCATTCGCTTTTGTAGATGAGTAAAAGATTTTTCAAGTAAAAGTCAAAAAACATGTATTTTTTTCAATTTTTCATCAGATTTTTGTATTTTTTTAAAATTAAAATACATGAGATTATATAAATAATGGTATGTAAAGAAAGCCCATTTTGTCCTGAAAAAAACAATATATAATTTGTATGGGAACAGTAAATGAGAAAGCGGAAAATTACAGCCAAACACAAACACCACAAAAGTGTAAAAATATTCCTGGTCGCAAATGTACAACATCGCAAAAACAGTCCAGTCCTTAAGGGGTTAAAGCTGGTGCGTCTAGCGTTTCTGCTTCTTCCGGGGTGAGGGCGTCGGGGTTGAAATCCTGCAAGTATCTCACTGTTTCCGTTTGTTTCTGTGCGGTGTCGGGGTCTCCGTTTATGTCAGTGGTGTTGTATAATTTTGTGTAAAAGGACCTGAATTCGTCCGCGATTTCTTACGGGAATTGCGTTAGTCTGCCTTGTCTGGTTCGCAGGGTGTGTACCTGGGCCTTGTTCTGCGGACCTCTTAGCATTTGGGCGAGTAGCTTCCCTCCTTTATTAGCATGCATGTAGAAGAAAGCTTTTGAGCGTTGTACCTGTCTAGCGTGCTTGCGTTCTATTATCTCCGTGAGCTGTCTTCTTTTCGTGATTAGGTCCCTATATGTCTGGTCTTGTTGAGTCCTTTTATGCCTCTGTTCCAGGTCTGCTATCTGTTGGGTGAGGTCTCTTAGTTGTTCTCCAGCTTCCTTTTTCTTCTGTGTTGCCATTCGTATTAGGTGCCCCCTCAGGACACTTTTGTGCACTTCCCCGATAGTCATGTCTGACAGGTCATCGGTGTTATTCTCCTCAAAATACTGACATGATCAGTAATTTGCGCTCTCATCGGTTCGTCTAGAAGAAGGGAATCATTGAGTCTCCAAGCCGTCCTGGTCCGGCGGTACAAGGGTGACTCCATTTCCACTTTCACCGCACTATGGTCTGACCAGGGTGTGGGTTGAATGTCAGCGTTCCTGAGATAGGTGAGCCCCTCCTGCTGTATGCATATGTAGTCAGTTCTGGAGTATCGGTGGTGTAGTGTGGAGTAGTAGGTAAAGTCCCGTTCTACAGGGTGGAGCTTACACCATGTGTCTATTAGCCTGAGGTTTCTGCCATGTGTCTGCCAAGGGGTCTAGTGAGACTTTCAAGTCCCCTCCCAATATCAGGACTCCCTCTGAGAATTTGGTCAGCTTCATCAGTGTTCTGCGAATAAAGCTGGCTTGTCCCGAGTTCGGGGCATAGATGTTTGCTATTGTATAGGTTTTCCCGGGCCATATCCCCTTTTACAAAGAGGAACCTTCCATCGACGTCCACTAGGTGATCTGTAGCTGCAAAGTGGAGGCTGGCAGCGATCAGGATAGCTGTTCCTGTTTTCCTCATCGTGGGATGGTTGCTGTAGAAGTTCAGTGGGTAGTGTCGGTTTTTAAGTAGTGAGTTCGCTCAGGAGGGTTTCCTGTAGGAGAGCAATTGAGACAATTGAGTCTCTTGAGGTCTCTCAACAGGTGAGTCGTCTTTTCTGGGGCATTTAGTCCCCTGCAGTTTTGTGTTATTATGGTCAGAGGTGCTTGGGAGTAAGCCATTTCGGACGGTATGCTCACCTCGGGAAAGTGCTATGTCTTTTTCCCTCCTTGCGGGCCGGGGGCCCAAGCCCGCCGGACCACTAGCAGCACGGTTGGGTGAGTACGGGGGTGGGACCAACAGGCGCGGGCCCGTTATGCGTGATAGATAGAGGTAGCTGTTTGGGAACCCAGAGGGGAGCAGAGTAATGTGGTGTGTTGCCTTTTTCGCGGGTGGAGTTATGTGTCTTGTTTCTTGTTGTTGTGGTGTGTGTTGGTGAGGGTGGGTGTGTGCCCCCTCAATTGGTGTGTGGTCTTGTCTCTCCCTAGTTCAGGTAGAGTCCTTTGTAACTGGGTGGATGTCCAAAGCCGTACCACTACACGGTAGTTACCAGAGCGGCTGCTGCCGTGGTTCCCTCAGTAGTCTTGGTATACTCGGGCCTAGTTCAGGTCGTGGTCCTTGCTAGCAGAATTGGTGATGTGAGTGTGCCTCGTGGTGTTCAACTGGGCTCCTGGTCCGCCGGGTGTGAACCTATAGTTGTGCACTCTGTGGTCGGGGTTATGTGCAGACTAGATGGGCCGAATGGCCCATCTATGGGCAGACTAGATGGGCCGAATGGTTCTTATCTGCCGTCACATTCTATGTTTCTATGTTTCTATGTGCTAATGTATGATCTCCGTCTGGGGTCTGTTATATTAATCTCTTATGTCGTGTCGGTGCGGTCCCCCTCTCTCGGCAGCTCGATCCTGTAACCCTTGCTGTTCGGTGTGGGGTTTTGTGCTTGTTAGTCCTCGTGTGGACTTGTGTGGTCTATGTTTCATGAAGAATATTGTGCATATCCAGTTCAACACATTTTTTTCCATTTTTTTCCCCATTTTTCTTTTTCCCACCCCCTTCTCCCCCCTTTTCCCTTTTCCTCCCCCTCCCCCCCATTTCTCCCACCTTGTTTCTATAGCCTTCCCCTTTCTAATGCTCACTTTCAATTTTGCTGTATCCCCCCCCCCGCTTCCTCCGTTGGCCTGCCGATGAGTCCGGTTCTCCCACCCGCATCCTCTCCCGGCTCCCAGCAGTCCAGCTAGGTTAGTGGCAATGGTTGATGCCCTCTCACCCAGGATATTATCGCTCTGGGCTATGTGGTTCTTCTGCTCCACAGAGGTCTGCATTGTCCCCCTTCACCCTTAACCCCCCTCCCCAATAGCTGTTCAGCGTGTCTTGGTTTTCATTCCCCAGGCGCGGTCTGTGCTGTGTCGGGGACGTGTTTGCAGTCAGTAGTGGGCGGATCGAATCTATCGCATGTCGTGCCCCGTGGTGGGGTGAGCCTCGGAAGGGATGAGTCTAGAGTCTTAAGTCGTTGGTCAGTGCAAGTCAAAGTGGGGTACAAGTACTTATCTGAGCGGGTCTTGTGGCCATCGTCCCCAGGTGTTCGTCTGTCGGTGTCCCCTCACTGCCATTCAAGGGGGGTCTTTTATTGGCCTATCGGGCCGGTGTCTCGCACATTCGGCGTGTTGGGCCGGGTTTCGAGGCCAGTGTGCTGGTGGGCTGCGCGGTGAGTCCTCTCTGCGTCTTCGAGCGGCTCTTTGCGCCATGGGGGCAGGTCGTTGTTCAAGCGGCCCCGGGATCCAGTCGGCCATCTTGGTGTACGGCAGGCCTAGTCTCCTCAGGAATACTGGTACCTCATCTGGCCATCTCACGGGTACCCATTCATTCTCATATGGGGCTAGCAGACTAAAGGGGAAGCCCCATTTATATGGTATATTTCGGCTTCTTAAGAGTTGGGTTATCGGCCCTAGAGCCCTGTGAGCCTCTAGTGTGAGGGGCGACAAGTCCTGGTATAGGGCTACCTCAGCTCCCTGGAATGGCCAGCTCTGCTTGGATTGGGCTTTGGACATAATAAGCTCTTTCACTTTAAAAAATTTAACATTGTTACTGAGATTGTGATACTGTACTATGCCATATCTTGTTCAATATTATTGAAAACTATTCACTAATTACCATGTATAGTTACACTTATTGACAAAAATAAATATTATAATTTTTATAAAATATTCAATTTGAACAACGTATTCCAGGTCTAAAGAGTTAAAATAGTGCATAAACTCTTCGCTTTAAATAATAATTGTGAATAAGTGCCAATAAAATATCAAGCCCTGATATTTTAATAAAGATTATTAATTTTAATAATTTTTATGAAAATATAATTTTTTATTAATGAAAATTAATTAATAATAATTAATCCCCATAAATATCCTCACAGCCGCCCTCTGTGGTGATGCCGGGTGCTGGAATATGATGTTATTCCAGCCCGGCATCACTTAAATGCACGTGTGAGGGAGCAGTGAGGAGCAGGAAGGGAGACCTCGCCCCCCCCATCCCACGTCGCTGAAGGGGTTAAAACCATAGGCGTGCACAAAAAAAAAACATAATCCCCGCGGCACGTCTATGTATATTGAGACCGGCAGGGGAGATCTCAGGATCTCCCCTGTCGGCTCATGCAGAGACTCTGTTCTCAGCCTGCCTCCCCACTGACCCACATGCATAAGCCTGCCACAACGTCAATGTACCCCATCTTTGGCAGGTCCTACACTAACAGCCAGAGCAGACATTAGGCTGTTAGTGTAGGACCTGCCAAAGATGGGGTACATTGACGTTGTGGCAGGCTTATGCAATGTATGATCATATAATGTAACTAAACCCCCATTATTTTTGCCTAGATTAGGTGTTTTTAAAAAAACAAATAAAATCTTTCAATATTGAAGTTGCTGTTTAGTGGATAGGTGAGTGCGCTGGATCTTGTGTTTTGTATTATTTGGCCCCCAGCAGCACCCCCATTTATGCATGTTAAGGTGAGTGCAGCCAACCCCCTCTTGTTTTATATATATTTGGGAGTCTAGCCAACTCCTTGGTTTTGCACCCCTCCCTGTCACAGGTGCCTCATCCCAGGGCCCTATTTAGCCTTGTACTGCAGAGAGCCCCAGATGGAATTTCTTTCCCCAAGTAGGTTAATCTCATAAGAGCAGACATTAGGCTGTTAGTGTAGGACCTGCCAAAGATGGGGTACATTGACGTTGTGGCAGGCTTATGCAATGTATGATCATATAATGTAACTAAACCCCCATTATTTTTGCCTAGATTAGGTGTTTTTAAAAAAACAAATAAAATCTTTCAATATTGAAGTTGCTGTTTAGTGGATAGGTGAGTGCGCTGGATCTTGTGTTTTGTATTATTTGGCCCCCAGCAGCACCCCCATTTATGCATGTTAAGGTGAGTGCAGCCAACCCCCTTTTGTTTTTTATATATATATATATATATATACACACACACATACATATATATGCGGCGTGTGCTTGTGCTTTAGGGTGCACACCCTAATGCAATAGGCTGCGCACGCCTATGGTTAAAACCCCTACAGACACTTACCTGAATCCAGCGCTGATGCCCTCTGCGCTGGTTCAGGCTCCTCTGGGTGATGGGAGTTGGCACCCAGACCACTTCAATGGGCTGAAGTGGTCGGGGTGCCTACAGTATCCCTTTAAGTCTGTTTTTTTTTTTTGCGGCCCACATTAACTTAAACCTTGTTTATTTGGGCCATGCTAGCCTTTGAGTTTGACATGCTTTCTCTACAGGCTTATCAAAACTGGAGTATAAACTTTCTCTGTTAGTGATGAGGCTTTATAGACTACATTTTATATTGCATAATAAAATAAAAATGTTCGTACTTGACTTTGGTATTGAAAGTGTTAAAGATTCTACACAGCAAGCTTTTTTTCTCCATATGTCTAATATCACATGTTTTCCTCAATTCTGTGCAGTGGGACTTGCTGTAGGAGCAAACATAAGCACACATACTAACCAGTTATGCACTCCCATTCATGAACAACACAAATAAGATGCATTTGGTTGGGTTAAAAGAAGCCTCTGTTGTTTTAGGCATACACAAGGATGATATATGACATACCTGGGATCTGTTTGGAAAGGATACATTCCTCTTTGTTTCCCTGATAATGAGAAATATTAAATGCTGTTAATGTATTCCATATAGCTAAGATATACTGGCATTCTCCTAGCTTTTTGCACTAAGTATGAATTGAGGATACAAAAAAAACCATTGTTTAGTATTTAAAATAAGTAATACAGAAATCATTAATAACTTATAGTATATACAAGACATGGATGTGGGTTGAGCTGACCAGCTTGTAAAATACAGGCACATTTACTCGTGTCCCATTTTAAACTTGACACTTTAAGTATGTAATTCACATAATTAGTTTATTACTGCATTCCATAGTAGCAAATAAAGACCAACATTGCCCCTTAGGCATCTAGTAGTTATTATTCTTAAATGGGAATTAATTGTCCATTGTAGTGAAGTATACAGCATTTGGCTCTAGTAAATCAACTAGACAGGATGGCATTGCCGCCATAAACTGATACAAACATATGCTGATCATACTTCAGTAACATAGCAACTAAGATTACCCAGAGTTGTATGTCAGAATCACAGTGGCAATTGCTGATGAAGTTAAAGGGTTAAACCAACCAGAAAACTATGTTTTAGTAAAATATTGTGTTTCGGTTGTTATAATCCTTGTGGTCATCCCCTTTTAAATACAATGATGAAAATTCACCTTCACTAACTCACTAGCTGCAATGACAAGATTTGAAACATTACAAATACAGGTTCCTTGCACCATGACCACTTTAAAACACTGAAGTGATCATGGTGCTTTGATAAACCCTTTAATTCATCCATTTAGTCTTCCAATATTATAGAATTTCATTATATTATTCCAATAGTATTATTAATAGTAATAGTATGTAAAAGTAGAATCTAGACCTCAGGATGTGCTTGGAAACTCACATAAAGTTAAGTGCACCTTTCAATACTGTGAATTCATATAAATTAAACAAAACTACTGTCTGCTGTCACTTACCTTTTAATTTCAGTAACAGGAGAATAACAGCCGCTACAATAATCACAGATAGACTGATTGCGATGAGTACAATGTGAAGAGAATTTTCCGTTTTCTAATAGAGAAGCAAGACAAATCAATAGCTGAGCAATAGTCAATTAAGAGTCAATAAAGTGACCCTGTCAAGAAAAATGCATGCAGGAATATTTAAAAAGTAGTAATTACTATGAACTGTGTCTGTTATTTAATCTTTTCTCATGCAGCACATGCATCTGATTAGAGGCATCATACTTATAACCTTCAGTCACCTCTCTATATTTTTTACTGGATCAACAGTATATAGTTTGTTTTAAATGGTTAAATTAATAATCCCATTTAATAATAATAATTAATAATCCATATTCCAGTATGGGACCGTTTGCCCTTGCTTGCATTGCTTGACTAAAGGTTCACTGTCAGAGCTCAATGTCAGGAAACCTGCCCATGTTGAATACGACCAATAGCCCTCCTCCACCATAGAAAGCTACACAAGTGGAAGAAACAGGCGAACCATCATATGTAGGTAGACCACGCTGACCTTTAACCCCTTAAGGACACATGACATGTGTGACATGTCATGATTCCCTTTTATTCCAGAAGTTTGGTCCTTAAGGGGTTAAACAAGAATGGCTTAAAGGACAACTGTCACCTCAAAACAATTTTTTTAATATAGTAATCCTCTTTCAGCAAGTTTTGAAAGGAAATAGATTTTTTAAGTAAGGTTAGGTAAAAAAAAAAAACCTTTGGTCAGACAATATTTGAACATTTACATATATGTAAATTACAAAAAATGGATTTCCTTTCACAAATTAATGAAAGAATAATTATATTAAAATGAAAAATGTAACAAAATTTAGAGTGTAGCAAAGTTATCATGTAATCCCTAAGGATATATTTATATTATATATATATATATATATATATATATATTTTGTATTTTTATTTTATTTTTTTAAATGCTTTAAACATACATTTATAAAGACACCTCCCCCCTCGCTTTTATCCCTCAACAGCTTTACGGAAAACTTTCTAAAATACAGTCTGCAATGCATTTGTAAATCAAACCCAGTAGCATTTTTTATAAGTCATTCTAAACTCATGGGATGTGTAAAACTTGAAATTAAACTACCGTTGTGCTATCACTTCATGATCGATTAGATATACAACAAAACAAGGAGGCATTTTCTAACATCTCATTAGAACTTGAAGTACCTTTAAAAAGATGCTTAACAAAAAAATATATATTTTTAAATTGGCTTTTACCAACAGTGCTATAATAAACTGGTTCAAAACAAACAAAAATAGTATAGAAATTGGCTGGGATTTACATACACTTCTGCATGCTATTTGACAAAGCCATAATGTAGAGCGGTAACCTCCATTGCACTGTATCAGAAGACGTTTCAAAATATAAATAAACCAGATCTAACATAACTATCAAAGAAAGAGATTAAATGTATTTTTGATGTTTCTGTCCATAAATCCATGTTTATTCTTGGTCACAAATGTTGTAATTTGTTCAAAACAGACTCCTAAATTATATCATATTCCTCAAAAGTCCTGGATTAGGTGGAATGGTCCAGAATTCAGACTCCAGGCTCACCAACCCGGGTTTCAGAAAAATATCACTAAAGAGCTTCTGCTGCGTAAAGGAAAGCCACACATTTATAGGGAGGCATGAGAGGCAGCAGGAGATGGACTTGTCCCTTATTAAAGCCTCATTCTGGCCCGCCCATCCCCGTCTTGCATCAAAACCTTCCAAGTATGTTGTATCCTAGAAAGAGCACTCAAGTATGTGCTTCAATGAGTTGACCAAGCATGCAATTAAATAAATATTTGTTTTCTTAAGGACCAAACTTGTGGAATAAAAGGGAATCATGACATGTCACACATGTCATGTGTCCTTAAGGGATTAAAATATGTTTTAAAAAATGATTTCTTCTTGAGAGCAAATTAGAGATGAGTATCCAGACACTAACGTGTTCTTTATTGCCAATTGTACATGTCTGTAATTTCCCCAGAATTGTCAGTGCTGTGCAATATTGTGAAGAGACACTTTTCATATTACATATTTTCATTCAGTTTAATTAATTGATGATTAGACAGTTTAACAGTCGCATTTTTTTCTGGTTCCTGATTTGTTCAATGAATTTTCCTTATTACTTCTTTCCCTAATGTATAGTTTTAGATGTTGCCCTACCCTTGCTTACTACATTGCCTGCCCTGCTCGAACATTGCTTTTTTTTGTCTCACATTTTGGTGTTACAAACTAGAACAGGGTTATTCAACAAACAGTGAATTGTCAGAGATTGAAAGTGAATTCAAATTAAATTTTAAATTTTAGTCCAAAACAACCAATCAAAAATAATTCCAATTCTATTTGACTTCAAAACAGTTTTTTCCTGAATATCATGTGTGTATAAATCTGTGGGTGTGATTCTAACTTTTTCATGACAAATGCTCTGAATAAAAAAATTGCTAGTGAAAGTAGTTAAAATATAGAAATCTCACCATCTTCTCCTGTACATTGTTTCCTGAGAAGAGATCTATGAGAAACCAAATGGAAAAAAAACACAAATAATGAAACAAAAATGCCTCGATGCATATATATATATATATATATAATTTAAAAAAATGTTATAAAATAGTCTGTGGATAGTCAATACAATGTTAAACAAAAATCTGCACACCAGTCAAGCCATAAGACTTGCTTTTCCAATAGAAATCATAAATTTACAGTTATGTTACTACTGCAAACGATTCTGGGTGGGCATATGCAAATTAGTTTAACAAAGAATCACATTTTTGCCTCGTTCCATTTTAAACATGGATTCCTTTTCATCTGTGTTTGCTGTATACAACAGCTCTGAAACACAACTTAGGAAAATATGCAAAGCCAGTGAACCACTCATGGACAGCTATTTCATTGTTAATGCAAATCATCAGCATGAGGTTGGTTACTGGCTTGCTATTGAGTCTTGGTGGTGCTTGGGAAGAAAAAAACAACAAGGTTATGGTGGGGAAAAATAGTGATTGAAAACCCCTTCCACCTGAAAACTGTGGTTAGTCAATACAATGTTAAACAAAAACCTGCACACCAGTCAAGCCATAAGACTTGCTTTTCCCACAGAAATCACACATTTGCAGTGATGTTACTACCGCAAAGGATTCTGGGTGGGCATATGCAAATTAAATCCAGAAAGTCAAATTTTTGCCTCATTTTATATATGCCCACCCAGAATCCTTTGCGGTAGTAACATCACTGCAAATGTGTGATTTCTGTGGGAAAATCAAGTCTTATGGCTTGACTGGTGTGCAGATTTTTGTTTAACATTGCATTGACTATCCACAGACTTCATGTGGAAGGGGTTTTCAATCACTATTCTTCCACACCATAACTTGGTTTTTAAGATATATATATATATATATATATATATATATATATGTATATGTATATATGTGTATGTATATATATATAGCTAATCAGATTATGGTAGGATAAACGGTGTGTATTTTTAAGAAATAATAGCCTATATGTCCCTAGGGAGAAACTTACCTCTCCCTTAAGTGATGCAGAAATTAAGAAGATAAAAGTACTATGGGAGTAAGCAGCAATAAATGTAGAAAGGTAGCACATAATTGTGATCATACTAGTGGAATGGTTAATGAAGGTAAAAATGGGACAGGATTGATGAATGGACAGGAAATAGGGGTAATGAAGTGAAAAAGGCAACAGTGATAATGAATGGATAAAGACAGAGATGTAATGATGGGAGGAAGACAGTAGGGATAATGAAGGGAAAAACATGTCAAGGGTAACAAAAGGAGACAAATATTATGAGAGTAAAAAGATTGCACAATTAATCACATTTGGATGCATTTGGTAGTAATAAATTTAAAATACAGTAAGTGCATTGTGAAAAAGGCAATTGAAATATTAAGGTTGGAGGCTCAATAGAAATTGAATGTTGAAAAGAGAGGCTTCGTGTAGCAGTGAAAAGAGACAACTTGCCCAATTTGCCCTGTTTGGCAGAGACCGAATTTAGTGGAAAATATGCAAACATTATTATATATATATATATCATATATGATAGGTCATTTTGAGATCTAACAACATGCCTTCCTTATAATTCATACACTGTTAAAAATAAGGGCCATACAGAAAAGAGAGCTATGTATTTGTAAAGTTCATTACCGGAATTCCAATCATCTTGTATCCTTTCAGTTATGTTCATGTCACCCGACTCTGATGTTGGAAAAGCAGACGTCCAGTTTACATTTTTGTTATCATCCATTCTCAAAGTCGTTGCATCTACAATGTAAAATAATCTTTGAAATTGGAGAGGTTTAAATCTCAAAACTATTCAGATAGTTATATGTATTAAAGCATATTTGACTTAAAAATATCACACACATATATTATTTTTTTCTGGCCATATCCATGGCATATATATGAATATAACCGCTTCTACCCTTCATCAATTTTATCTGAACGATAAGAGATTCCTGCCAATTTTAATTTCAAGCAAATAATGTTGAAATCCTTTTTTAGCAGAGATTTGCATAGCTAAGGATAACATCCGAATCTTATGCAGTTATGGATTCAGATCCGTCTGATCCCTGAAAACAGGTCAGACTCTAAGGGACATAGGTAAGCCATTCTAATTTTTTCTGTGGCTCCAAACAAAAGAGTGCCTATTAATGATTGGAATTCCCTACGATGAAAGCTCTATGGGAAGAAAATCATCTGGATCATACAAGGGAAGTCGCCCTAAAGGATCCTTTGGTACATTTAGTAGGTCAATTTGGTAATGTGGCAATAGTGGGTAATCAGTTTTTAATTTCCTTATGAGGTGTGTGTGTTGTCACTTCCCATTAATAATTTGGAAGTCCTGTGTATTTCTTCCCTCCCTTGGTCATCGCTTGGGTATTACCCATTGTTGTGCTGGCATGGATATGGCCAGGAAAAAGGAAAATGTATTCCTACTTACCGTAGTTTTCTTTTCTGGTCATAGGCCATGGCAGCACAAAGATCGCGCCCTGGGATATTGCTGGAAACAAGACTGAGGGTGGGAGGGGTAAGAGGAGCTACTCATACCTTCTGTTTTAATTAGGTTCCTGTCCAATTAGGTATAGGGAGGAGCTACCCATTGTTGTGCTGCAATGGCCTATGACCAGGAAAAGATAATTATGGTAATTTGCAGAGCCCTCCATGAGCTGTCACCTTCAGTATGCCTATGGCCTTAGAAAATAACAGCAGCAACAAAAACAAAAGCGTGCGTTTGTCTCAGTGTATGTGTATGCACAGGGGACTCTATGATTAAGTGAGTAGACAGGGTAATCTGTCTCTCTGATGGCATCAACCAGACAGTTATTGTCTCCCGGGTGCTCAGGTTTGGCATGTTGCAGATAGAGTGGATGGTTATTGGAAGGGAGTTGAGAGGACCAAGGCCGGCCTTAAGGGTGTGCAGGGTGTGTGGCGCCAAGGCAGCCGACGCAGCTTGCATACACAGGGATCAGCAATGCAATAACAAGTTTCAAAACCTGGCCGCAAGTAAGGGTATGGAGCTAAATTGGTGGCAGGGCCGGAGATAAAATTACAGCTGTACACTGTTTCCCCAACTACTACATACCATGGACTTCAATGCCCCTGCTACCTCCTCCAGCCCATACTGTCTGTAAGTGAGAAAGAAAGATTGTGTTTGTATCTGCCTGTGACTGTGTGTAACTGTGTGTGACTGTATGTGTCTGTAACTGTCTGCCTATGACTGTGTATAAATGTATGTGATTGACTGCTTGAGACTGTGTGGGACTGTCTGTGATGATGTGCATATGCCTGTGACTGTACGTGTGACTGTCTGCCTGTGACTGTGTGAGGTTGTCTGTGACTGTGTGTGACACACAAGAAGGGCAGAGTGTGTGGAGAGTGTGTGTATGTGTGTGTGTGTGTGACTGTCTGCCTTTGACTGTATGTGACTGTGTGTGTGTGTGACTGTATGCCTTTTGACTGTGTGTGACTGTCTGTGGCTCTGTGCGTGTCTATGTGTGTTTGTGTGTGTGTGTGACAGTCTGCCTGGGACTGTGTGTGTCCAGAAGATGTCCTGTGACTGTGTATGTGACTATGTGTCTGCCTGTGACTGTGTGTGTGTTTGTGTGTGAGAGACTGTCTGCCTGTGACTGTGTGTAACACACAAGGGGGGTGGAGATTTGGAGATTTGGGAAGCCTCAAGAGCAGAACAGAGAAGTTTTGTAATAAAAAAAAAACGTACATACAATACAAGTGTCTCATGACAATATTAAATGGAAATGCATCACTTTGAGAAAAATTTCTTATTCAAAAGCCCTGCAGACTGGAAAAAAAGTAGGTACATTTAATAATTTTTATGTACTTTCTTTTTTTTAATGCTTTGCACACCCACTTTAAGGGGGGGGGGGTCCCAGTTTAACCAGTGTCCTATCCATATGAATGTTGAAAAAAAGTGCATTGGGCATGCCTGCCAGACTTAGATATGTGCAGTTCGAAGATCTCTGAGAGTGGGAGAATAGAGGAAGTCTGATCAGTGTGAGTTATGCATCGCAAGCTCAGGCGTCAGGTTTCTCTCTTCTGTTGCTGCACAGTGATGCCCTGTTTTTGTCATTTGTGCTGTGGTTTGAAACTGAGATAGGTGGATAAGAGGAGGGGGCAGGCTGAACAAACTCTACTAGTTGAGAGGTGCACAATAGTGCAACCTCAACACATTTGGAAAGCTATACATTTCAGGTAACAATTTAATCATTAGATATTTTAATTACTGGGACATGAATTGGGATGGAGGGACTGGTAATTCATGTCGGGGAATCAGGGTTTTGAACTTGTTAAATAACACCTCCGTGTCACAGTTGGTAGAAGCACCAACTCTAAAGGATGCTTGTTTGGATTTGGTTATAATAAACAATGTTGACCCATTGTACAGCGCTACGGAATGTGATAGCGCTATATAAATAATAAAATAATAATAATCTTGTGTCAAAAATTCATGTAGAAAAATAGTGATCACAAGTTACAGTCCTTGTTCACCACTAAATTGTGATAGCAGATATAGAGCTAAGTAAGGGGTGATCACGATATTACATGGTAAACTATTTCAAATTATATAATAACAGAGCATAATGTATTAACACTATAGAGACAAGCAAAAGGCTTATAAATTGTAATACACATCAAAAGGTATCAGGAAGAACACAAAATTTTTAAAAATGTTATCCTATTTCCTTTTCCTTTTGTTGATACCTTAATATCACCCTTGGCGACAAATTTGTTTAATGTAAGTATCACCTACGTACATATGACGTTCACTTCGTCAGTGTAATCCATATAAAACAGTGGGCTCAGTAATTTATACAGTATGTTACATTAGGTTTGGTAATTATAAATATAATGGAGGGAAAAGCTTAAAGCATTTGCTTTAACGAGGGCATTTATGGCTAATTAACTGAAACCATAAAGAAAATCACTATCCATTTTAATCGTTGGTTGAAAGAATGATGTCATGCTGCCCACTAGTGGGCTTTTTAAGAACAACACTATCCTAAACATTAAGTATTAAGAAAGCTGTTTTTGAAAAACATTGTATTGGATTTTTGGATTGCATCGGGCATAGTTATAGCTAGCAGGTATTGATTGAGAGAAAAAGGTCATCTTTGCTCAAAATCTGCATCCAAACTGCTAAATTTTGGTATAATGGTGATCATAAAAAAAATAATAATAATACTTATTCATTTTAATAAAGAAAATTGATATCTAGACTGGCACTGAATGCACCCTCTGTGTCTGATTTAAAAAAAATAATAATAATTCAGTGCAATGAACAGGGATGTGAACATTTATCAAACGCAAAACATTTCAGTTGGTGATTCTTGTACATATAGTCTCCTATGTCACTTATTTTTTCCCATTGGAAATAAGAAACATATATTGATCAGCATTATGTAATAAGACTGATTCTTATGTATTTGCCATGAATTTCCATTTGACCTTATTTTGACAAACAGTCCACACTGTTTGAATGGTGCCCTACTCAATATAGATGCGCTGTTGTTTTGGACCTCATGCTAGATAGAATGTTTTTTTGTGCCATCTGTTATTGAATGTGTTCTCTTTAATGTCTGTCTTTACTTTAATGTTGCATCTCTGTATTTCAAAGACAGTATCCAGTGCAAGGTTTGTAGGGGTTTGCTCACAGTAAAGGGTCTGGATATTTACAATATCTATTCATATTGATTTTGAGTTTGTCATAGCAAGGTCTCTTAATTTTCGATCATTACTTTAAAAACACCTTTTGAAGGATAATGCTCAGGTATAGTAAAATTGCTGCAGTAGTTAAGGCTCAGTACTTTGCTGGGGAAGATCCTGTTAGATGTATGTCTTTAACGAATGCATAGTGCCTTAGGAAAGATACGTCGTGAAATATTTTTCATTCTGAAAATAGAGTATTACAGAGGGATATCAAGCAGTGTCTAAGCTCCAGGGCCTGACCAGATATAAAAAGCTGCTCTGGAAAATGTTTTATACAAGCACGATATATATATATATATATATATATATATATATATGTGCATTGTTCCAGTATAGTGTGTAGATATACTGAAAATGATTTCTCTAACATGAAGAAGTGCACTTATAGGAGAAAATAAACAAAAGGGTTGCTTTATTCTTATCAGAAATGTAACATCTTACAGGCAATGTTTAAACCGCATTACCTTGACGTCTTGTGAGAAATCTGGGGATGGTATTGAAACATTGACTGTATGCTGTAGCACGTCAGATTAACATAAAGACGTTATTTTGATTTATGCCCTCTTTAATGCACGCTTTGGCCTCAATTTAATATTTTTGTATAAACTTTTCAAATAATTTAATATTTTGGATAAACTTTTAAATTGATTAAAATATTTTTTGCCAAACTTTTAAAAAGATTTATTCAAAGTATTACAATTGAACAAAACTTCTAATGGATATAAAATATATCAATATATCAAATTATTAAATCATTTGAAAAGCAGATTTAAACATATTGAATCTAGGTTTTTGCTGGATATATTATAGGACTGGAGTTTGACACAAGGACAAGAAATAATTGGAGACAGGCATGATTTAATTACAGAACTAAGATTTTTTGTATATGTATTTATGTAAATATAAACTGCAAAATTAATCTGAAATAGTTAAACTGTCACTATGGATGAGTTATAACATTTTTCCAAATCCCCTATTTTGGCCTAAATTATGCCATTTGGATTTTGAACACTCCTACAGTTCAAAATTTAAAGACTAATTCCATGAAGAATGCAAAGCCTTGGTTATATTTCATGTATATAAAAATAGATATTATCAAACTAATATACTAAATAGTCAGGGCTGGCCCAAGGCATTGCGCTGCCTGGGTCCAAGGATGAAATGTTGACCCCCCCCCCCACCTTGCACCAAAAGCATGCCAACATCCATTATGTTATGCAGTGTGTGTAGTGAATGCAATGTCTGTTTGTGTAGTGGTTGCAGTGTGTATATCATATTCAGTGTGTAGTGAATGCAGTGTGTGTGTCGTGAATGCTGCTTCTGTTATTGTGTCATGGACGTAGTGTGTATTGTATGCAGTGTGTCTATTGAATATATTGTCTGTGTGTGTATCAGAGAATCTCAACCAAGCACTAGGACTGTGTAACTAATCCTACAAGTGAGCAAAAACATTTTAGATACCTGATCAGGGACTAACTGAGTTCTCAGTGTTCATGTATTCTCTATTTTTTGACATATGTTAATATACATCGATATAGATATAGTCCCACCCAGTGTCTGCAGTGTCTGTGATTTTCTTTCATTGAGCATTTTCTCAGGGCTGCAGAGACCTTAACATGTATTCCAGGTTAAATCTGATATGTTTGGAATAATTACTGTTTCCTGTCCTTTTTGCTGTGAGTGTAGGAGATATTAATTTAGTAACAACATGCTTAGTGAACTTGTTCCTAGAGCATGACAGGTTTGGCACATGCCCTAGGTGCCACTTGAAGAAGGTGCTACATCAGAGCCAGATTGCCCCCCCTCGAGATGGCAGGGAGATCTTTTGATCTTTTAAAAATGGCATCTCCCTGGTGGTTGATGAGTCCTCACAGTTCCGACATTGTCTGAGGGAGTCAGGTCACAGACGCCAGGATTTCCGGCCTGCGCTTTGACATCATCACAGAGCACTGGACCAGAAGGCCCAACGGACCACCATGGAATGTATCTTTGCCCCATTCCTGTACAGTTAGTTAATCAGGAGGGGCCAGCTGTTCTATTTAAAAAAAAAAAGCAATTGCAGAGTGTTTTTACACAATCTGCCAACATACCATACTTAGTCCACACATACAAAGCCCTGAAAGATTGTCACCCTCTCAGTTACCCAGCAATAGTCACTGAACTGAAAACCTTGTGACAATCACTCCCTCTCACTTTTTAAACCCAGCCCTATTACACACACCCCAACCTTGTCATACTCACCACCCCTCCCACCATGCCACACTCACTACTTCACCCTACCACACTCACCCTCCTAACCCCTAAAGTTTATTGGTACCTCTAGTGTCCCTTTAAGTTCAGATACAGAAGAAATCAATGTAACATGCACAGGGTTATTTACCAAAATGAGCATCCAAAGCAAATCTAAAGTTTCAAATTTAGGAACAGAGTAACCAAACTGAAACCATAGCTGTCTTTTTTTTTGGGGGGGGGGCTATTTAGACCTTAAAGGGACACTATAGTAGCAGAACAAGTACAGCTTAATGTCCCTTCAGGTTTTTTTAGTGTAAACACTACTTTTTCAGAGAAAAGGCATAGTTTATATTACAGCCTAGTAATGCCTCTAGTGGCAGTCACTCTGGACACACTCTGAATATTTTTACTGTAAAATCAATTTTTGGATGAATCTTGTAAAATCAATTTTTGGATGAATCTTTTTTTTCTCCTCTGACTATAATTTACCATTTTTTCCAGAATCCTCTTCACTGGGTGGATAAAGATTGTCCACAGTGCTTACCCAAACAGGGTGTGTAGATTGTGAATGAGTCACAGTGTTTCCTTCTGTAAGTATAGTTACAACATTTTTAATTAAAGTTATTATACATTGTCATTTTATTTCTTTATTTGTTAAAAAAAATCTTATTTCAGAGATGTAACATATATTAAAAAAATCCTGAATAAAAGTGTATTAAAGTTTCATAAACAAAGTTACAAATAAAGTCCCCATAAAAGAAAAAGAAGATTGAAAGTGGACAATGCATTATGTGAGAATAGGTGAAAAAAGGACAATACAATCACAAATTAAAGGTAACATAACAGGGCATTGTGCCTTGGAATCATGGCAACAAGATAAAACATTAGACTTCGCAAATCCATACAGAAGGGTAGACAGAAAAAAAAGAAGAAAAGATATAAGAGATTAAACAAAAAGAGAAACAAGAAAAACGAAAATGAGAAAAGTAGACATCCAATCCAAGTGGCCTCCAATTCAAAAGCAGTCACATATTGGGGTTAACACCTATAAAATACAGGTAATATTTGAAGGGGCATATCCTCCAGATTCTCCACTTTTTGTAATAGGCCTCCATAGCGTAATCAGCTAAATGAGTCATCTTTTCCCAGTTTGTATTGATATCAAGGGTTAACTGCACGTTAGCAAGCATAGAAATAAAATCTGATCTTCAAAGCAGTGTTAAATTCTGTTTAGCTGCTAGAAAAACATGGCCACAGAATGTCTATCTGGATAACAAGCTGTGCTCAAAAGTTTACATACCTAGCAGAAATTTTGACATTGATTTTGAAACTATGACTGATCATCAAAACATTATTTTATTGAAGGATAGTGATCATATGAAGCCATTTATTATAACATAGTTGATAACAGAAATCACCCAAATGACCCTGATCAAAGGTTTACATAGCCTTGAATGTTTGGCCTTGTTACAGACACACAAGGTGACACACACAGGTTATGGTAGTTAAAGGTTAATTTCCCACAGCTGTGGCTTTTTAAATTACAATTAGTGTATGTGTATAAATAGTCAATGAGTTTATTAGCTCTCAGGTGGATGCAATGAGCAGCCTAGATACTGAGCCATGGGGAGCAGAAAAGAACTGTTAAAAGACCTGCATAACAAGGTAATGGAACTTTATAAAGATGGAGAATGATATAAAAAGATATCTAAAGCCTTGAAAATGCCTGTCAGTACTGTTTAATCACTTATTAAGAAGTGGAAAATTCAGGGATATCTTGATACCAAGCCAAGGTCAGGAAGACCAAGAAGGATTTCAGCCACAACTGCCAGAATAATTGTTTGTAATACCAACAAAAACCCACAGGTAACCTCAGGAGAAATACAGGCTGCTCTGGAAAAAGGTGGTGTGGTTGTTTCAAGGAGCACAATACAACAATACTTGAACAAAAATGAGCTGCATGGTCAAGCTAACAGAAAAAAGCCTTTACTCTGCCAATGCCACAAAAAAGCCCGGTTACAATATGCCTGACAACAAGTTGGCCCTCCAGTGGTAATAACAGAAAAAGGTGAAGGTTCTGGGGTGGCTATCACAGTCTCCTAACTGACTGACTGATGTCATCAAGCCACTCTGGGGAGATCTCAAATGTGCGGTTCATGCAAGACGACCAAGGATTTTGCATGACTTGGAGGCATTTTGCCGAGACAAATGGGCAGCTATACCACCTGCAAGAATTAGGGGCCTCATAGACAACTATTGCAAAAGACTGCATGCTGTAAAATGATGCTAAAAGGGGCAATGCACAATATAAAGAACTAAGGGTATGCAGACTTTTAAACAGGGGTAATTTCATTTTTTCTTTGTTGCCATGTTTTGTTTTATGATTGTGCTATTCTGTTTTAACCTACAGTTAAATATGAATCCCATAAGAAATAAAAGCAATGTGTTTTGCCAGCTCACTCATGTTTTCTTTGAAAATGGTACATATATTACCAATTCTCCAAGGGTCAGTGGTGTACACACAACCCATGGGGCCCCGGTGCGAAAACTGATCCGTGCCCCCACCCCCCCACGCGCTTACTCTGCGCGGGCTGGGGCCGCAACACATGGTGGCAGGCACGTGGTTAGCAAGGCTGCGACCCCTGTGATGTACACCAGTGCATGCAGATACACATACACTTAAAGGGCCACTACAGACACCCAGATCACATCAGCTCAATGAAGTGGTCTGGGTGCCAGGTCCCTCTAGTTTTAACCCTGCAGCTGAAAACATAGCAGTTTCAGAGAAACTGTTATGTTTCACTGAGGGTTAATCCAGCCTCTAGTGGCTGTCTCATTGACAGCCGATAAAGGAGCGTCCGCGATTCTCACTGTGAAAATCACAGTGAGAAGACGCTGAACGTCCATAGGAAAGCATAGAGTAATGCTTTCCTGTGGGCGGTTTCAATGCGCGTGCGGCTCTTGCCACGCATGCGCATTTGGAGCTGAGGGGCGGAGAGATCCCCAGCGCCAAGGGAGTCCGGCGCTGGAGAAATGTAAGTGCTTTAGACACACACACACACACACTCTCACGAACAGACGCATACACACTAGCTAACAGACACACACATTTACTGACAGACACACACTCAGTGACAGACATACATACACACTCACAGAGACAGACACACACTTACTCACTTACAAAACACACACTCTCTCACAGACCCACACAAACTAACACACTCAGTAACAGACACACACAGTAACACACTCTAACACTAACACACATACTAACACACACATACTAACACACACACTAACACACACACTAACACACACACACGCACTAACACACACACACACACTTTAACACACACACACACATTCTAACACACACACACTCTAACACGCACACACACACACAAACACACACGTTTTTAAAAAAAAAATGTAATCCCCCCAGCCTCCCTACCTTTGGGAGAGCTGAGGGGATTGCCTTGGGTCCTGTGGTGTCACCCGGCGGGCAGGCTGGCCATTGCGTGAGGGAGCTGAAGAGGATGCACACAGGGGAGAGTGCTCCCTCGCGTGCCTGCCAGCCTGCCTGCCGGGTGACACCAGGGCCAGCCTCGGGGGGAGGAGAGGAGAAGAGGCTGGCCACACTGGCATACATACTGGGTCGCAGGGTGGCTGGGCCCCCTGGTGGGCCGGGCCCGTTCGCAGCCGCGACCCCTGTGACCCCGGTATGTACGCCACTGCCAAGGGTATACACACTTTTGAACACAACTATATATGCTACGTCTGGACAGGTAGTTAGAGGGGAGTGAACTACTGCAGAAATGAGAGCAACCAGCTTGCACTATAACCACTAGATGTCACTACAGCTAATAGCATGATGTAGTGGCTTTGTTGTCTATTACTTCCTATACAGCAATCTATTCTTCTGGAGATTTTCCTATACAGGAAAACTGATAATGGTGACACGTTTTATAAATTTCTTTCATGTATAGCTCACGCGGTTAAATTCTGTTTTATAAATAATAATTAATGTTATTACTATTATTATCATTTATATAGTACCAACATATTTTGTAGCTCTTTAATATTTTACAATGAGGATATAAAACAGCAAATAATTACAAAAGGAATAGTATATAAGGAGAAACAAGAAGTGAACAAAGTCCAGCTCAAGCAAGTTTAGAAAGAAGATACAGATGTTAGGGTTGGAGAAAATGTTGAACTTGTTCTCAATGTTTTGAATAAGGTTTTACTTTTTTTGATCTTGCCTGACATTCTGGGAGTTTTGTAGAAACACATAGCTTATGTATTGGTTGCAGCCTTTAAAATCACTTTATGAAATGTAAATGTTATTAGACACTCCACTGCCCAAATAAAAAAATAAATTTGAACAAATGCAGCTTTTGTAAGCCTCCCAAGCCTCCCATCCAGCCCAGAGTTTCTGTGGGTATCAAATCACAGTCTTCCTATACAGCTCAATCTGAAGGCAAGTGCTCTGGGCAATTTCCTGCCTCCACTGAGATAACCAAACCAAAAGTAACAGGACTGGTTGTCCATTTGACATACAGGAGGGTGTAACAAGGTTAATTTCTACTGAAATCTGCACTTTTTGTAAAATGAAAACGATGACACATTCTTCACACATAAAGCACTTCAGCAAGCTAAAGTACTTTACGTAGTGATGTCCCGAACGGTTCGCCGCGGACTCATCATTGAGTAAACTTTGACCCTGTACCTCACAGTCAGCAGACACATTCCAGCCAATCAGCAGCATACCCTCCCTCCCAGACCCTCCCACCTCCTGGACAGCTCACTAAGAATGCAGCTTCAAAATGGATGCTGTCCAGGAGGTGGGAGGGTCTGGGAGGGAGGGTCTGCTGCTGATTGGCTGGAATGTGTCTGCTGACCGTGAGGTACATGTTCAAAGTTTACTCAATGATGAGTCCGTGGCGAATGGAACCGTTCGGGACATCACTAACTTTAAGTTCTGGAGTGTTCCTTTAAATCTCTGGGTATCACTATTAAAGCATTATTGCCAAACCAAAACCCTTTTAAGGGAACAAACTAAGTACCCATCCTTAACAGATGTCTTGTGTAGTTTAATGATCATGGAGTCAAGTTTTATTTACTTGTTCGTAATAAATGTTCTAATTATTTAGAAGACAATTTATTAGCAACATCTTGTGTCCCTATCTGCCTACCTACAGAGTTCTCTATATGAAGTGGTAATTTAAAAGACCACTATAGGCACCCAGACCACTTCAGCTCAATGAAGTGGTCTGGGTGCCAGGTCCCCCAGGTTTTAACCCTGCAGCTGTAAACATAGCAGTTTCAGAGAAACTGCTTTGTTTACACTAGGGTTAATGCTGCCTCTAGTGGCTGTCTCACTGACAGCCGCTAGAGGCACTTCCGCACTTCTCACTGTGATAATCACAGTGATAAGATGCTGACGTCCATAGGAAGGGCATTAAGAAAAGCTTTCCTATGGTCTGTCTAAATGCGCGTGTGGCTCTTGCCGCGCATGCGCATTCAGCGCTGTCGTCGGGAGGAGAAGGAGAGTTCCTCAGCACAGAGAGAGCCAGAGAAAGGTAAGTGTTTAAGCCCTTCAGCCCAGCGGGAGGGGGACCCTGAGGGTGGGGGGGAACCTAAAGACCCTATAGTGCCAAGAAAACAAGTTTGTTTTCCTGGCACTATAGTGGTCCTTTAAGCACCAGTTGATACTCTTAGCCTGATAATAAACTCCAAATAGGGTCAACATTGATATTACAACAGAATAATAATTTCCTCTTTAGTAATATCCAGAAAGGACTGCAGACACCAGAGGAACTTAGGTATGAGTTAAACCATTTGAAAAAGATTAAACTTTTTTTGGATGGGACCAGGGGACAGCTGGCACCAGGCTGCAGAGGTTATGGTGTTTAGATTAACCTTTTTTTTATTGAGAGTAATCCCAAACAATGATATAAAGCCAATGCAGTCTTACAATATGACAAAAAAATATGGTGCCAGGAGAGCTTTGCTGATCACCACCACATCCCACACCCTTTTGCTAACGGTTTGACGTCTTATGTAAGATCCACTGGTTCTTGCCTCTCTTACAGCCCGAAGCTCTCCACCTGAGCTAAACCTGTTGGTGCAGCTCATTGGTTGAGAGCGATTAGCTGACATTCTCACTCAATGAGAAGTCCCTACACAGTAGGGTTTATCTCAGGAGACCTAATGGAAGTGCCCAGCAGGAGCTTCTGGCTCTCACTGGCAAAAATAATCTGCTCTAATTGGACCCAGGAAAAGAAGCCAAACAGAAGAGCAGTAGTAATACTTAGAGTGTTACTTTTAGATTGCTTGCACTGTGCTTTACAAACTATGGGAATTTTTGCCCTGGAGGTGCATCCAACTGACATGCCCAGTTTGTCATTGGTGATGGAACAATTACACAATTTGCCCCGTCTCTTAACCCATCTTCCTGAGATTGTACTGCGCTGCCTTAAAATTATATATATTGTGGTTGGCTGATATTATAGTGTAGTTTCCCAATAATGTAATACTAATCCAGGTACTGAGGCTGTGTTGCAGCTTTCCGAAGTTAAGACTGCCAAATAATCAGGGAGAAAGAAGCACCCAAAATGTGCATGATACATTTTATAAACAAAATACCTTTATTTTTCCATTTAAAATGTATTACTGGTGCTGTACAGCAGAGGGCAGACACCAGCACTATGATGCTAAAGTGTTTTGTCCCTCACTGTCACCTTACCAGAGATTGGGGTAGTGTCTTCCCTCTGCTATGCAGTCCCAGGCATGACTTTTAAGTGAGAAAATAAAGGTTTTTTTTTTTGGTTTTTTTTATTTCTTTATTTTTTCATCTTGACAAGGGTAGCACTATGAAATTTTCAGTGTGGCTTGTGCAAAAGCCCATTAAAACATATAACAGATAACCACAGTGATACATATAAGAAAGAGAAAAACAATCGTGATAATTACGACATGTGCGTGAGTAATACGTTTCCAGCTACGCGTCAAGGGTTTTTTTTTTTTGTACTAAAGGTGACATAGGAACTGTGTGAACTTCGTTTCCAGAGTGTTGCATTGCCATGTAACTCAGCAGGGGTGTATAGTAGTGTAGCTTTGTGGGATTTATTATTCTTTGGGTGACCCCGTTACTCTGTGTCCTGGCATAATAGGGCGGATCCCATTCGCATCAGTGATATTAGTTCCCAGTGGGTAGCATGTCCTATGTCTGACTCTGACGTTAGTTGATATATGACCTACCGTGTAGGTTAGCGCATAGTTTGTTAAGGTAGTGGTTTTTATCGGGGAGGAAGCACTGGCTCACGAACCTCGAGGTGGGACCCTGGACCTGCCAGGGGAAGACTCGTTCGCTAGGGAGTAGGGTTCGGTCCTCAGGCTCCCCCGTGATATTGTGAGTGAAAAGAGGGTGAAAGGCAAGAAAGAAGAAAGAAAAGAATAAGGGGGGGGAGGAGGGGGGAGTCAGGGGCTAAGGAGGAGGGGATGGGGAGGGGTAGGGTACGGGTATACGTCAGGTCACCATGGTGTGGAACACTTCCGATTATGTCTATCGTGTTTAGGCTCCCCGTCTGTTACCAACTCTAGCCGTAGGAGGGTCAGGTGTGTGTTGTGTCGTCAGAGAGGTCGCTACTCTGCCATGGGCCCCACAGTTTGTCGAAGCTAGTCATTGATCCCCTTAGTCGGGCAGTCAGTTTATCCATGAGGTGCACCTCTTTTATGTTAGAGATTACCCTCTGAATGGGTGGCATTTCCGTCTGTAACCATGTCTGCGCTACGGCTCTCCTTGCGGCTAGTGTAATCTTGTGAATCAGTTTCTGTTCCCTCTTTGTCCAGTCGTCTAAAGATCTGTTAAGCAGATATGTCCATGGGTCTAATTTGGGGGCTTTATGGAAAATTCTATTGATTAATTTGTGTATCTTTGTCCAGAAGATTTGCACATGGGGGCATTCCCACCACATATGGATATAAGTGCCGCTAAGGCCACAACCCCTCCAACAGTTGTCGGTCGGTATTTGTTTCATGCGGTGCAATTTGGCCGGTGTGGTGTACCACCTGAACATTGTCTTATAAGACTGCTCCTGAAGGGAGACGCATATGGAGACCGAGTTGTTCGCTTCCCATATTTCTCTCCACTCTACTCCCTCCAGGACCTCACCCAGATCTTTTTCCCACGCGTCTGCATAGGCCAGGCTGCCCCATTCCCTCGTTTCTGAGCATATGTGTGAGTATAACTTGGTTATCAAGCCCTTCTGAGCCGTTTCAGTGAGGCACATCTTCTCAAAGAAAGTCAGCTGCTCTTTAGTGGCCCTTTGTACTTGTGGGTGTTGTACATAGTCCCTTAACTGGAGATACCGAAAGAAATCTGTGGGGGTGAGATGGGTCGCCTGTTTTAGGTGGTCGAAGGTGACAAGCTGGCCGTGTTCAAACATATGGCAGATTCTCTGTAGGCCTGCTGTTTCTAGGTTTTTAAAATCTCTCGCTGCCATGCCCGGGGCAAAGGCTCGGTTTCTCAGAAGGGGTGTTAGGGGAGATGGGGAGGAAGCCAGATTATACTTAAAGGCCATGGCATCCCATATCCTCAATGAGTTGAGTATGGCTGGGCATGTGGTCCTTAGAATTGGTCTGTCTTCCTTGGGGACTTGTAGACCTCGAGTCTTTACTGACAGGAGCAGACCTCCCACAATATCATATGTGGGATATGATATTGTGGGAGGTCTGCTCCTGTCAGTAAAGACTCGAGGTCTACCCATCTCCTCACTTCTAGAGGTGCGTGCCACATTGCCACTTGGGCGAGTTGCGCTGCTAAGTAATAATAGTATAGGTGTGGCAACCCCAGTCCTCCCCTCTGTTTCTGTCTGTACAAAATGTTTCTGGAGATCCTATGCCGCCGGTTTTGCCAGATGAAGTCGCCTATTGCTTTTTGTAAATGAGCTAAGTCGGATTTCAGTATTTTTATGGGTAGTGCCTGAAAAAGGAACAGTATTCGGGGCAGGATATTCATTTTAACTGTGTGTATGCGCCCTATCCAGGAAATGGGTTTGTCCTGCCACTTTTCCATGTCTTGTATTAGTGTTCGTATGAGAGGGCTATAGTTTAGTTGGTAAATTTTGGTTGGGTCGCTGGGAAGTTGTACACCCAGGTACTTCAATTTGTCATTTGCTATGGGTATATTATAGGTGACCCCTAACTCCGCCGTGTCCGCCGGTATTTTGTTTTTAAAGCTTTATTTTGCACAGTCCAGCCTTGATAACAAGGTAGATGAAACTGGTAACAGAGTGTGATGGACCGCCTGGCACCCCAACTGCGTGCCCCCGCCAATCGCTGCTTCCTAGCTGTCGCCGAGCATCATAAGTACCGCACTGGACAACATAAGCACCGTAGCCCATTAGCTGCTGCAGCTTGGCTGGGGTCTCGCCATCCCTTCCCACCCTGGACCAAACTCCTGGATCCATCTCCCAGTGGGAAGGCCTCTCCTCCAAGACAGTGTAGCAGGTATAACAGTGTAGCTCTTACAAGAGCTGGTGATTATAGTTGTTATAGCGGTTCCCTACAAACATGAGATTAGACTCTGTTAAGGGTAAGCAGGAACTCGTTTAATGGTAGCCACAACTGGCCTTATATGCAGGTCCCCATGCAAGGGGCACTCCCCTCTGGACCTGAGAGTAAACCACAGTAGAAACAAATACACAATTAATTTGGCTCTCAGACCCAGATCACTCCCATACATAATAAGATAATCCCTCCTCTATGCCTGGGAGATAATTGGATCAGGAACTGTACTAATCTAACCCATTTATCTTCAAGCACAGAAAACAATACAACAACACCCTAAAAGTACCCCTAAAACACATGAAACCTCCACAATCTCCTGATAGCCCTGATCTGCGAGGGCCAACATATCCATAAATCACCCAGATCGGTTCAGGGGTTTGGGATTTCCATAGAAGTCATATTTTTGACCGACCGTGCACATGGTCCTATGCCCAAAACAGTTCCAGGGAATTAGGGCCAACGGTCGGTCTCTCCTTATGGAGTACAAAAGTACAGAAATCACATAAGTTTTTAAAGGGCCCATAGTCTTTTGGCAGGAGGGTGCCACACAGAGAAAGAAACAAGGTGGTTAGAGAGGGTAAATAGAAGGTGGGCTGGAATATCATTCAGCCAACTCATGCATGTGTAACCATGACAGCTTCATTAATGAAAGACATTGCCAGCTGAAGACACATGCACCATGGATTATATAGTTACATACCAAAAAGACTGCAGTGAGACCAAACACAATAAACTCCCAATTTCCCATTCATATGCCCAAGAAGGACTTCTTAAATTCCAGCTTTAGATATGCATATGATAACAGTAATTGTTATATTAGCACTGTGGGGAGTTTTATCGTGTTTGGTCTCAACACAATCTTTTTAGGACCTTGCTCTATGCTCTCAGAGAGACTTTAACTTCCAGACCAGAAACGGCATTTGAAACTGCAGTCCATGGCTGGTTTCTGGTCACTGATCCTTTTGGATTGTAGCCCATGCTTTGGTTTGAAAAAGCTGTTTTTAAAACAGTGTGCATTGCTACGGGTGTCTGTAGAAATGCAATATAAAGTCTGACACATGATATCTGTCTGTGCTCATTTGCAGGTCAAACTGGGAACTCAGTGATATTTGTGGAAACATGATTTCTTGAGTATCTATGCTCACGTAGGACTTATTAAAGCCCTACTTGAGATAATCGAGTTATTTTATATATATATATATATATATATATATATATAAATATATATATTTCTATCCAACCAACAGTTTACTTTTTGTTTTTATTAAATAATGTGCTATCAATGCAAACATAAGTTTCTCGAGTCCTGCAGGAGTCCTGCAGGAACGCGTGGGAACGGTGTTCCTGCATTTTTTCACAGCAGGAACACCGTTCCTGTTGCTAGTGCAGGCACTAACCAGAGGTCGGCAAAAAATGCCACCCCCAAATTCCGCCCAGTGTTCCCCCTGTCATGGGGGGGGCCAAGAGGTGGGCTACTGGCCACCTGATGACCCCCCCAGCGGGCGGCTGTCTCTGATCTGCTCCCTCGCACGCTTGCTGATGCCGGGAGCCGGAATATGACGTCATATTCCAGCTCCCGGCATCAGTAGACAGCCTGCACGGCACGAGGGAGCAGATCAGAGAGAACACAGCTCCCTTGCCGCGTCTGACAGGTAGACAGCCGTCCGCCTCACTGAAGCCCCACTGGACCGCAGGGACAGGTCCACGACAGCTCTCCAGGTATGGAGGCTGGGTGGACATTTTTAAAATTTTAAAAACATGAATAATTTGTGTGTTTCTGTTAGTGTATGTGTGTGTGTGTCTGAGTATGTGTGTGCGTCTGTGAGTGTATGTGTGTGCCTGTGAGTGTGTGTGTGTATCTGAGTGTCTGTGAGTGTGTGTGTGTCTGAGTGTGCATGTATGGGTCTGAGTGTGTGTGTGCACCTGTCAGTGTGTGTGTGCATGCGTTTATATATGCATACCAGTGTATAATTATTTTGGGGGTGGGTGGATCTTGGGTTAGTTCCCACACTTTTTTCCCCAGGACTTGACCCCTGGTTTCCAGGACACGTAAAATACTCTGATTCTGAAGGGTATTTTTTTTTTTTAAAACCACATGGCGCTGAAGTGGTTAATGGAACATAGCATATCGGAACCCTCATTGTTAGTCATTTACCTGTATGCAAAGTTTCTTGCTCTTTGTCCACATCAGTTTCAGCTGTGGATGGATTTGAAAATCGCGATGAAGCCGTAATGCCCGTTGTTTCAAAGACATCTTCACTGGTGGTTTTCATCCATGCGTCATCTGGCATCACCGTTGTAGTTTCTGACCAAAAAAGGCAGCCAATAAAATTCTAAAATTCTGGACTGCTACTTGTTTAAAATATGGTAACATAACTAAAGTTTTGTTATTTTTTTTAAATTTTGATACTTTTAGATACTTTTTTTATCTGTGAATTTCTGTAATTCCTTCAATACAGTGTTTCAGTACATAAAAAAAAAAAAATAACTATATATATATATATATATTATCATATGACATATATTATCATCTAGACAATCCCTAAACAACAAAGGCCATTTTAATGTATATTATTTATTAATAAAGAGTAGTTTCTGTCTGAGAGGTTTGCTGTCATGAGATTGGCAATCCTGAAAATGTTAACATCATAAAATACTAACTCGCCAATAATTATATGTTTTATAATGGCACATTTTACTCATTGGTTACAGGGTTATTGCACCCTAGCTTCAAGTGATCAACTTATATATTTCTATGTTAACAGCTTTTTATAATAATATGTTTTACAGAAATCAGAAATCATGACCCAATAGAATGGAAGAATACATCATATAAGAAGGACGTGTTTCTATTTCAAATGCTATATGGTACATGAGTTCATGCTACAGTTTAAGAAAAATGTGTATTAAAGGGATACACCAAGGTCCAGAAGACTTCAGCTTGTTGTGTGGATTTTGGTGCAAGGTCCTTGTCCCTAAAAAAAAATAAAAAATGACTATCTCCGTAAATGTTTGGAGCTGTAAGTTCTCCCTTGGCTACTCATGTGTTTAACTCCCTTATTTCACTGTACAAATACTTGTACAGCGTGAGCATGCATTGCTTGATCAGGCCAAGGGAATTATCTATTTATAAGCACTGTGCTGTGAGTACACGCATAAGGAAAACTATTACACTAACTGGCGCTGCTCTGTGAATGCATTCTTTAAGTAATCCCTGCATCATGTTAATGTATAAAATGTTGTACCTGCAGGTAGATCCTTTGGTTCCAGTTTGGTGATGGTGCCATATGTGGTTGTAAGTAGCTGTACAGCTGTAGTTGTTGGAGGTGGCGTTTTTCTCTTTGCTGAAGTCGGTTTTGGTTTTGTAGTTGGTGCTCTGGTAGGAGGAGCTAAAAATAAATTCAAATATAATAACCAGTTTCCAGTATATCAATGTCATGCTTTATTTATATATATATATATACACAATGGAATTTATTAGATAAGTGTATGCAAAATACATGTAATATATACATTTTGATATACCAATAGAAAAATAAATTTGTACTTATGTAATGTTACAGTTAAAATATATACACTGATCAGCCACAACAGTAAAACCACTAACAAGTGAAGGCAATGACATTGATTAAATCATTACAGTGGTACCTGTCAAGTGGTTGGATATAATAGGTAGTAAGAGAACAGTCAGTTCTTGAATTTCAAGTGTTGGAAGCAGGGAAAATGGACAAGCAAAAGGATCTGAGTGACTTTGATGAGCCGAATAGTGATGGCTACATGACTGGGTCTGAGCATCTCCTAAATGGCAAATCTTGTGGAATGTTCCCGGTATGCAGTGATTAGAACCTAACTAAAGGGGTGTAAGGAAGGACAACCAGTGTCCTTCATCATGTCAGGGTCATGGGCGCCCAAGGCTCATTGAAGCATGTGGGGAGTGAAGGCTGCAGCTTAAATTACTGAACATCTTAAAGCTGGCCATGATAGAAAGGTGTCAGAACACACAGGTCATTACATTTTGCTGCGTATGGGGCAGCATAACTGCAGACTGGTCAGAGTGTCCCTGGTGATTTAAAAACTCTTTCCGTGGGGACAAGAGCATCAAAATTGGACCATGGAGCAATGGAAGAAGGTTGCCTGGACTGATGAAGCAAGTTTTCTTTTAGATCAGGTGGATGACCGGGTGCTTGTGCATTGTTTACTTGGAAGCAGGACGCACTATAGGATGAAGGCAAGCTAGAGGAGTGCAATGCTATGAGCAATGTTCTTTTGGGAAATCCTGGGTCCTGGCGAGTGTATGTGGGTGTTATTGACACGTACCTACCTAAAGATTGTTGCAGACTACACATACCCCTTCATTGCAATGAAGTTCACTGTCAATAGTCTTTTTCAGGATAATGTAACCTTCCACACTGCAAACACTGTTCAGGAATGGTTTGAGTAACATGACACAGAGTTCAAGGTGTTGCCTTAGACTCCAAATTCCCCAGATCTCAATCCTATTGAGCATCTATGGGATGTGCTGGAACAACAAATATGATCCATGGAGGCCCCACCTCGCAACTTGCTGGGCTACTGCTAATGTCTTGGTGCCAGATACCACAGAAAACGTTCTGAGGTCCTATGGAACCCATGTCTCAATGTATCAGAGCTGTTTTGGCTGCACTAGGTGGGCCTACATGATATTGGGAAGGTGGTTTTAATGTTGTGGCTGTTAAGTGTTCATAGCAGATTCTAATTTTACTAGAATCTAATGTATGCATATCTGTGTATATTGTTGTTATAATGTTAAGCGGAAGATAAGAAGATGGTCAAGTGCAAAATGTTGGTTATTGACATCACATGATGTTAGTGCTGAAATAGTGTGAAATTGTGCCCAATTGTAATCCTTTTTTTTTTTCAAATGTATTTATTTTTTACTATTAGCACCTTTGTCCACCTGTAGCTCAATGTTGAGTTTCATGTCGTTGAACCAGCCATGATGTTCCACTCGGCAGCAATATGTTCCTTGATCCTCCAGTTTTGCATTCATAATTGTTAATGATACTTGCCCATTTCTAATTTGCCCTCTGAGCTGGTATTTGTCAGATGAACTAAATGTTACTTTGTATCCATCTGTATATATAATAGGCTGATTGCATTTGGAGTTGGGGCAGCTGTCCCGTCCCCAGCACATTGTGGTGATATCACTGCTGCTTGTAACACTGTAGGTACATGGCAAAGTAATATGCTGGCCTTCTTTTCCCTTGACCTTAATTCCAAACGCCAATGGACCTGTAGAAAGATAAACCACATAAAGGGTCATAGGAGAACAATAGTGCATGATATAAACCTCACACAGCACAAATCTCCAATGCATTCACCTTAATGTTCATGAACCATATCTATATATAATAAAATTAATCCTACATATCTTGTAGTATTCCAGAGGCTATTTTCATACTGTAACAAGCATGTGAAATGGATGGATTGTATGCGATAGCTACTTGGTTCCATAATGTATCAATTACTGGTTATTATTGTCACTTTTACTTTGGATGCAACCAATTGTGATATTTTACTACACACAGAGAAAATTATGTATTTTAAATAATTTTAAAAAATAAAATGGAAGAACTAGCCATTGAGTTGCATCTTTATCTGACAAACAAGGCATATGTTACAATGGTTAAAGGGATACTATAATCACCAGAACAACTATAGCTTAATGTAGTTGTTCTGGTGAGTATATTCATTATATGCAGGCATTTTCATGCAAACACTGCCTTTTCAGGGAAAAGGCAATGTTTACATTGCCCCTAGGGACACCTCCAAGTGGCCACTCCTCAGATGGTCACTGGAGATGCTTCCTGGCTCAGGGCTGCACAGTAGGCAGCATTGCTGTTCAGCGTCAACTGAATTTCAACCGTTCAACTGAATTTTCCTCATAGAGATGCATTCAGTGGCGTACACACAATCCAGGGGGCCCCGGTGCAAAACTGATCCTGTGAAACTAACAGGATATAGCTTTAAGAAAACACATACCATATGCTAATGTCTTGCTTTCATCTTTCAAGTAAATCCATACCACCACAGCAGCGTCCGGTGAAGCAGGATTTCGGTGGGCGGGGTAAAAGGGTGGGCCACTAACGCGAATGACATAACCAGAAGTGCCCAAAGGGGCAATCATGCCCAAAAATATCTGCCTGGCGTGAATGCATGTCAGTCTGCCAGCCAATCATGCAGGCTGGCCAACTAAGGGCATACTATGCAGATAGCACAGTATGAGCTTGGCATAAATCCATCTAATGATGCACTCGCTCCCCACTTTCTAAGGACTGCCCCTTTGCACTCGCTAGTCCACTCCTCTCCTAACCTTCTTACCAGCAGGCAGAAGGTCTTGTTATACAGTTTATGACAGAGAAAAAGTGTATGTAGTAAGTGTAGAATAAAGGGAACATGCCACAGTGTTAGAGAGACTGAAGCAGCAAGAGCATTTGCATAGTGCACAAAGTCAGCTTTACATTAAAGGACCACTATAGGCACCCAGACCACTTCAGCTTAATAAAGTGGTCTGGGTGCCAGGTCCATCTAGGGTTAACCCTGTCTGCTGTAAACATAGCAGTTTCATAGAAACTGCTATGTTTACATATGGGTTAATCCAGCCTCTAGTGGCTGTCTCATTGACAGTCGCTAGAGGCACTTCCGCGCTTCTCACTATGATTTCACAATGAGAAGACACCAGCGTCCACAGGAAAGCATTGAGAATGCTTTCCTATTGACTGACTGAATGCACACATGGCTCTTGCCGCGCAAGCGCATTCAGCCGATGACGGCAGAAGGAGGAGGAGAGTCCCCAGCGCCGAGGGAGCCAGGCGCTGGAGAAAGGTAAGATTTTAACCACTTCCTCCCCCTAGAGGGGGGCCATAAGGGTGGGGGGGGACCTATTAACACCATAGTGCCAGGAAAACGAGTTTGTTTTCCAGGCACTATAGTGGTCCTTTGACTAATTTAATTGTCAGCCAGTCTACAACAGGTTTTTTTTCCCTACATCCTAATGTGAAGAGTAGTTCATTTTTTTTTTTTTTTCTCAAGCAATGGGCCTTTTGCATGGGCCTGGAGCGGCAGCTGCATCAGCCCCTATGATAATCCAACCCTGGCATGCTACACCTACAACCAGTATAGAAAGAGGGGAAAAAAAAGACAGTTTTGTTTCTTGGAGTGTCTATTTAATTATATAATATATTGACACCCTAGATAACATCAACTACAGTGAGGGAAAAAAGTATTTTTATTTCACTCTTTGACATGCAAATTAATTTATAACTTTTTTGACATGCGGTTTTTTTTTCCGTTTTTTTTTTTTGGTATTCTGTCTCTCACTGTTAAAATACACCTACCATTAAAATTATGGATTGATCATTTCTTTGTCAGTGGACAAATGTTTAAAATCAGCAGGGGATTAAATACTTTTTACCCTCACTGTAAACAGTCCAAAAGACTGTTTCTTTCAGGAACATAACAACTATTTTAACCTGAATACCGCATTTACATTTTTAATTTACCAAAATGTACTGTTTTGCAAATACACACTCAATTAATCTTTTTGGACTTCATACGACAATTCTTTACTTCATTCTATGAAATCTAATACAAAAGACAACCACAGTACCAAACATAAAAATTTTTAAATACTAGTTATGTCAGTGGCAAATTGCTAAAATATAGGAAATTTGAGCCCACTTGCAGAAATTCATCAGAAAATATAGTATAAGATTTTTGAAAGGTTGTCTTCACTCCCTGACCTCACACATTAAAGAGATAGCCTTCCATATTTATCTGAAATGGAATTGCTCTGTAAACATTTTGATAAATTGATCAATAAATGCATTAACTCGCCCTGAAGAAATCTGTCGGAAGATAAGTGTGGGCCTTTAACTACTGCATCCTCTACTGTTGCTGTTTCCCTAAAATACTTATGTGAATGCAAGGGTGGCCAAAAGCTAGATCGTCATCTGTCGTACAACTCCCCCAGTGCTATGCCAGCTGGAGATTTTCCATTTGCCCATCCTTGCAAAATTGTATTTGTCAGCAGTGTTTGTGCATGTGAATGTAATGTTTGTGTATGCAGTGTGCATGTAGGGATGTATTTGTATATACCGTTGCCATTGGAATGCAGTGGTGTACTTCTATGTAATGTAACGTTTGCATTTGATTGCAGGGTCGTGTTTGTATATAGTGTTGGCTTTAAACTCCTTAAGGATGGGTGACGGACGAGGTCCGTCACAGAGGGGAGACCCTTAATGACGAGTGACGGACCTCGTCCATCACGCGGTAAAATTAAAACCAGATCGCCGCTATTGCGGCGATCGCAGGGTTAATGGTGCTCCGGTATGCCTCTGTATTAGAGGCATACCGGGAGCACCCGGTCAGGCTACCCAGCACATGTGCTCGCTCTGACCGCAAGTCAGAGGGAGCACATGTGCTCTGTATACTTACCTTCTGGCTCCCTGCACTTCCTGGTTATGTGTGAAGTGCAGGGAGCCGGAACAGTGATGATCCTGCCCCCTGCTATAAAAATAAATAAAGTTAATTTAAAGTCCCACCCCCCTCTACCCATTGTAATAAAAAATTAACCCCTTCCCTGCCAATTGATCACTGACTACAGTGATCAATTGGCAGGGATTACATTTTACTATGATTTGATTTTTTTTTTAACCCCTGAGGGTTAATTCTTTTTTTTTTTAACCGTCAGGGGTTAAATTTAATTAATTAATTAAAATATTTTAAAATTATATATTTAGCTAGCTGGGGTGGGTGGAAGTTAGAGGGGAATTGGGGGATTTGGCGTTAGGCTAACTAGGGGTTAACGTTAAAAAAAGTTAAAAAAAACTTTAAAAAGTAAAACATTAAGCTTAAAAAAAGTTTTAATAACGTTTAAGTAAAAAATACAAAAAAAACCTCCATTACCTAGTCCAAATAAAAATTAACCCCTTCCCTGCCAGTCGATCACTGCCTACAGCGATCAAATACAGATCACAGTATTATACTGTGATCTAATTTTTTTTAACCCTTGAGGATTAGCTTTTATTTATTTTGTAACCCTCAGGGGTTCAATTTATTTAATTAATTAATTTAAATATTTTATAACTATATATTTTGCTAGCTGGGGTGGGTGGGAGTTATGGGAAAATGGGGAATTTACGGTTAGTGCTGCTTATTGCTAGTTAGGGGTTAACGGTAAAAAAAAAAGCTTACAAAAATGATAAATCTGTAAAAAAGTTTTAAGAAAGTTTAGGAAAGTTTAAAAAAATTAATAAGTAAAACAAAAGTTTCAAAACTAGTTTTTAAAAGTAAAAAAGTTTAAAAAAGTAAAAAAATACGTTTTAAAAACGCTCATTACCACTACACCTGGAACAAACTAGAGAAAAAATTATCCCACGCCAAGGTTCAAAATATGAGTTTTGAATTACCCCAGGGTGTATTCTTTAATAAATAGTATGTGTTTTGGGGGAAGTTTCAATACCCAACCATCTAAACTACTCCAAATTGGCACATGGACACAGCGTAAAACTTCAAAGTTAGAAAAAAACTGAATGGCTGCGTCTCAAATGCGCCCCTGCAACATCCACATATACCTGGCAAAGGTACATGCGGGGGTATTGCTGTACTCAGCCGACATAGCTGAGAAACATATGAAGTATTATACAGTCATAGCACACATAAGGTTTGCAAAATATGCTGCGCAAACTCACTTTGTATGTCAAAAAGGCAGAAAAATGCTTATTACCACTACACTTGGTACAAGCTAGCGGAAAAATGATCCCACGCTAAGGTTCAAAATATGCCTTTTGAAATACCCTGGGATGTCTTCTTTAAGAAATGGTATGGCTTTATGGGGTATTTGGATTATATAGCCTGGTAAAATACTCTAAAATGGGACATAGGCACAGCATAAAAATTCAAAGTTTGAAAAAAACTGGAATGGCTGTGTCCCAAATGTGCCCCTCCGATGTCCACACATACCTGGCAAAGGTACATACGGGGGTATTGCTGTACTCAGCCGACATAGCTGAGCAACATTTGAAGTATTATACAGTCGTAGCACACATAAGGTTTGCAAAATATACTGTGCAAACTCACTTTGTATGTCAAAAAGGCAGAAAAAAAGCTTATTACCAATACATCTGGTACAAGCTAGCGGAAAAATGATCCCATGCTAAGGTTCAAAATATACCTTTTGAAACACCCTGGGGTGTCTACTTTAAGAAATGGTAGGCCTTTGTGGGGTAGTTTGAATTTAAAACCTGCGAAGATGCTTGGAAATTGCACATAGGCCCAGCTTCAAAATTCAAAGTTCGGTAAAAACGGCTATGGCTTGGTCTCCTATATGCAGGCCCGGACTGGCCATCAGGCACACCGGGCAAATGCCCGGTGGGCCACGGTGGCCATGGGCCAAGGCCGGCAGGGCGCCGGCCCCGCTGTATTCCATGGAGGGCCGGTGGGGAGATCAAAGATCTCTCTCACCGGCCTATTTAAATAGACCTGCGGCTGGGGAGGGAGAGGACCCGGCGGAGCTCTATCTTGCAGCTCCGCCGGGTTCCTCTCGCGAGATCGGGAGCGTTGCCATGGCAATGCCCCGATCTCGCGAGAGTGAACTCTAGCCCTCAGGCTAGAGTTTACTCACCACTGGACCACCAGGGATGGTGTGTGAGTGCCGGTCCCTCCCCTCCCAGACACCACCGTGCCTGTCCCCCACTCCCAGGCTAAAGGTAAGAAGGGAGGGGGGATTTAATGCCTGCTTAGTTTTTTTTTATTGTTTATTTACCCCCACTTAGTTTTTTTTTATTGTTTATTTACCCCCACTTAGTTTTTTTAATTGTTTATTTACCCCCCCTTAGTTTTTTTATTGTTTATTTACCCCCCTTAGCTTTTTTATTGTTTATTTACCCCCCTTAGTTTTTTTATTTGTATGTTTACCCCCACTTAGTTTATTTGTTTACCCCCCAACACACAACATTTATACACAGCACTCTCACACACATCACATGCAGCACTCTCACAAACATCATACACAGCACTCACACACATCACACACAACACTCTCACACACATCATACACAGCACCCACACACACAGCACCCTCACACAAATCAATCACATACAGCACCCTCACACATACAGCACCCTCACACACACAGCACCCTCACACACACAGCACCCTCACACACAGCATCCATCACACACACATACTGCACCCCTCACATACACACACAACCCCCCGATACACTGCATCACACACATACACAATACTTCCAAACATATTTATATATAAAAAAAATATATATATATATATATATATATATATATACACATAGCACCCCTCACACACACACTGCACCCCTAAATACATTACATTCCAGACACACACTAGATCCTTTACCCAACTCTGAATCATCTACACACATACCCACACACTAGATCCCTATATACACTGTGAATCCATTATATAGGCACGCTCACTAGATCTCTTATACATATTCTGGGTCCTTCAAACACACACAAGACATATATATATATATATATATATATACACACACACACACACACACTCTGGATCCCCTATACGCACACTAGATTCCTTGTAAGCAAACACATACTACATTCCCTGAACACACACTCTCTACAAACACTACATCACCTATACACACACACACACACACACTATAGCCTGTATGCACACACTTGCTACATCCCCTATACACACATTCTCTACAGCCCCTAGACACATATGCATTACATTACACCACAAACACAACACGACTAAAACCGACCTTATTATACAATACCACACCACGACCAGCTCACTCTGCACACACGCAATATCACAAGCAGGCTCCAAACACATGCACAATACTCTTTCCTGGCCCTTTTGTCTCCTGGTATCAATTTATAGAGACACCAGAGACAAGTTGCAAGGAAACACAGTGCAAGAATGTTATTACATTTGCTTGCACTGTACAGAACAAATACAGGGCTTTTTTCTCATGCTAGAGCTCTTCAGCAGAGCTCTGCGCATGGTCTGCCCTGGAAGAGCATTGAACCAACATGCTCACTTTGAGAGGGGACGTGTTTGTCATGAGTGATGACAAAACACATCCTCTCTGCCCCGCCCCCTTCTTAGTGGGCCGCTGTGATAAAAAAATGCCAGGGCCGAATTTTTTTCCCAGTCCGGGCCTGCCTATATGGCACTGTAGCTTCACGAAATAGTGCCAAAGACATTCATTGGGGGTGTCTTTTTACTCAGAAGACTTAGCTGAGCATAATTTGGGAGGTTTGAACTTAGTGGCACAAATGAAATATACAAAACGCCCAGCAAAAATGCAATCCGTATGTAAAAAATGCACAAAATTATTTGTTACCACATACTTTGGCATATATTGGTGAAAAAATGGGGGTATGTTAAGGCACAATATGCACCTTATGAGATACCCTGAAGTGTCTACTTTTACAAATGGTAGGCCTTTGTGGGGGGTTTTTGAACAGTCAAACTGTTATAGTACCCCAAATGGAAGCTAAGGCTCATTAAATCCATCTCTCAAAATTCTACTGTGAATACTAAAAAAGGACAGGTCTCCTATATGGCACTAGAGCTTCACGAAATAGTGCTAAAGACATACAATGGGGGTGTCATTTTACTCAGCAGATGTAACTGAACACAAAATAAAACTTTGTACAGGAATAGCACACACCAACTTTACAAAATACACATGAGAATTTCTTTGTTATAAGTTTGTGTGCCAAAAACCAAAAAAACCCACAATTTTACTCCAATATTTAGCAGAGGTTGGCGGTGAAATGGCTACGTAGAAAGTGTCAAAACAACCTTAGGTAAATAGCCCGTGATGTCTACTTTATATAAATATATACTTTTGTGTGGCAATTTTGTTTTCTTTTATGGCTATTAAGCTTACAAGACAAACATACCAAATTCTAAGATCGCTCCACATTAAAAGTTTATTTTACTCCTTGTGCTTTGTGACCTGTAACTACCAAAAAAAACTTAAAATCCCAGACACATTATATATTCTGTAAATCAGAACAACTAAATTAATTTATTTTTAATTACTTTTCTTAACCTGCACTAATTATGCACACATTATTATTGCAAAAACTGTAAAAAAAAAAAACACAAAATTTTCATTTTGTTTACATTTTTCTGTATTTTTTTATAATAATATGTGTGTTACATCAAATTAAAGCCCTTTCTGTCCTTTAAAAAACGATGTATAATATGTGTTGGTGCAACAAATTAGTAAAATGCAAATTGCAGTTGAACGCAAACAGCAAAAAAATGAAAAAAATGCTGTTGTCATTAAGTGAAAGACAAGCTTTTGAAGCTCTGTCTTTAAGGGGTTAAATGCGGGGGTACTTTTGTGTGTAGTGTTGGTATTTGAATGAAGGGGTATTTGTATATAATTTTGGCATTTTAATAAAGTTTGTATGTAATGTTGGCTTTTAAATGCTGGTTACATGTGTATGTAGTGTTGGTGTCTGAGTGAAGGGATGTGTTTGTATATAATGTTGCAGTGACTGCAGGGGTTTGTCTGTATATAATGTTTACTTTTGTTTGAAACTGTGTGTTTTCCTGTAGTGTTGGAATTTTATTGCTGGGGGTGTATTCACAAACACTGCCATATACATACATATACAAATACACATTGACAGGCACACTCAGATACATACACAGATATATGCACACAAATTTACACACTGACACATACACATGCACTTAGATGCACACATATACACACTCTGACACATATACACACTGACACACAGAAACAAACATAATACACACACAGACAAACACATTGATACACACATTGACACAGACACACACACACTGACACACAGCTACACACATTGATACACACACACACACACACATACATAATGACACACAGATACCCACAGAGTGAAACAGAAACACACACTTAGATGTCATAATATTTAGCCACCCTCCTGTTAAAGGGACACTATAGTCACCTGAACAACTTTAGCTTAATGAAGCAGTTTTGGTGTATAGAACATGCCCCTGTAGCCTCACTGCTCAATCCAAGCCATTTAGGAGTTAAATCCCTTTGTTTATGAACCCTAGTCACACCTCCCTGCATGTGACTTGCACAGCCTTCCATAAACACTTCCTGTAAAGAGAGCCCTATTTAGGCTTTCTTTATTGCAAGTTCTGTCTAATTAAGATTTTCTTATCCCCTGCTATGTTAATAGCTTGCTAGACCCTGCAAGAGCCTCCTGTATGTGATTAAAGTTCAATTTAGAGATTGAGATACAATTATTTAAGGTAAATTACATCTGTTTGAAAGTGAAACCAGTTTTTTTTTCATGCAGGCTCTGTCAATCATAGCCAGGGGAAGTGTGGCTAGGGCTGCATAAATAGAAACAAAGTGATTAAACTCCTAAATGACAGTGAATTGAGCAGTGAAATTGCAGGGGAATGATCTATACACTAAAACTGCTTTATTTAGCTAGTAATTTAGGTGACTATGGTGTTCCTTTAACATACCTTTTGTTTACAGGAGAGTGGCTTTGCTTAGGCCCTGCACTCACATCCTCCCAGTGCTGCTGATATTACAGGGGTCTGGACACACTGGCAAAAGTCCATGGCCCCTGTTCAGAAATACCCATCAGTCAGGTGGCCCTAATTGTTTCGGTCTGATGGTCCTTTTCCAGCCTGTGGGCCAAAGTGCAGCTGCACTGGTTGCACCGGCGGTAGTCCCACTGCTGGACTACAGCAGCACTTTATATACCCGTCAACTGAATGCCAACTTAACAGTTATTCATGTTGGCCATATTGTACATATCACTGTAACTGTTTTGTACGGCGGTTGGCCATGCAGGTCTGTTTCTCTTTCTTGTTATTTTAGAGATATAGCATTTTCAAACTTTCATGTTTTTAATCCATTAGGCATAGTTTGTTTTTAATCCACTAGGCATAGTTTCCTGGTCAATTGATACCTCTATTTATTACCAAAATTTATTCTGTCCAGAGGTTATTGTGTCGCTTTTTTATTATGAAACATTTTTGATACATGCACTTTTTATTGTATCAATTGATATTGCATGTATTCATCTTAAGTTATTCATTTTAACTTAATGTAAATTTTTAGGCAACATTTATTTTTATTATTTTTATCAATGCATGTGTTTTATTAGCTCTATCATACATTGTGTAGTCAATCTATTTGTCATATCACATTTTCTATTTTGTCAACATATTCATTTTTATCCTTTTCCTATTTAAAAAAAAAAATGTTATTCTTTAAAGGAACGTGATGTCTTTGGAATACAAATCTCTATACCTAATGCTATAGTGTGCCCCTTCCCACTCTTTTCTAGGTTGACATGAAAGTGAACTAAAAAAAAAGATGTATTAATTTTATTTTACTTATTGTTAACCACCGAGGCTCCTTTGGTGCTGCTGATCTATCGTCTCTCGTGATGTCAGAGAGGAGCATTGGGGACCTAATGTACATGCACGGCGAGTGATGTGCTCGTATTCAAAATTTCCCATAGGAAAGCGTTGTCACTGCTTTCCTATGGGGTTTTCCATGTCACGTGACAGAATTTTAATCAGCCTGTAATGTGGAAGCGCCTCAAGTGGCTGTCAGTATGAGTTAATGCTGCAATGTCAACATTGCAGTTTCTCATAAAACTACAATGTTTACATTACAGGGTTAAGGCGACTGGGGAACTGCAAGTAGACCACTTCATTGAGATGAAGTCATCTGGGTGACTATTGTGTACCTTTAAATAAATTGTTATGTATTTATTTTTCTTTCTGTTGTTCTTGAATATTCTTTACTCTGTTTTATTTTTTTGTTTTTTGTTACTTGATTGTGGAAAACTGACCTGTTTCCATTAAAGGTTTTGAGTGGTTGTTTTGTGGAATGAGAACACGATTATTTGGTATTTAGAAGTGAAATACTAAATCAGATGATAAATCAATCAGGAATCCTGCAGCATATATATTATACATACTACATGTCCAAATTTTTATTTGCAGCCAAGCAACATGATGAAATTATAGTCTATGTTGCTCTACTCTTCCAGAGAGACTCCACTGCGTTGATATCATACACGATTTCATCTTTAACTTCCTTTCTGTTTATCTGCTCTGTGTTATATTGTAGAAATTCTCTTTAATAATCATGTAAAAAAAAAGATATACAATAACAAAAAATTTAAAAAAATTACCACATATGATTTTTTGACACTCGATAACAAAAGAATGGAAGTCAACTCACATAAATGGGTCAGTTACTGGTTAACGACCTCTGGGACATACCATATTTTTGTGCTTGCATCTCCAATTATTTTTCTTTTCTTCAAGAGAATAAGATCCTATGAGCAGCTGTATTGTCTTCAAAGGGCAAACTGGTGCTCCTCATCAGTCTTTCTTATTTCACAGCCCTCCTTTTCATCTCCACTGTTCTCTATTTGACATCAAAATCGTCAATGGTATTTTAATAGTTTCAGTACGTGCAGCCTTGACAGGAGTGCATTACTCATTTTAAGCATGCACATTTCCAGGATTACTTCTGCCAACAAGCTCCTGTCCTATGTTAGAGTAAGGAGACTATTCACCAAACATTGTGTTCTATGAACTTTAGAATTTTTTTATATAAATTAACAGAGTTAAAAGGACTCTCCAGTGCCAGGAAAACAATCTGTTTTCCTGGCACTGCAGGTCCCCTCTCCCTCCCACCACCCACGCCTGGTTGCTGAAGGGGTGATGTCCCTCGGCGGTGGTTCTCCTCCTCCTCATTACGTCAGCCGGTGGGCGAGACTGATCCCGCCGGCCGCGGAAACCTAATGCGCATGCGCGGCCCGGGCATGCGCATTAGAGCTCTCCATAGGACAGCATTGAAAATGCTTTTCAATGCTTTCCTATGGGGAATTGAGCAACGCTGGAGGTCCTCACACAGCGAGAGGACATCCAGCGACGCTCTAGCACAGGTTTTCTGTGCTATGGACCAGGAAGTGCCATCTAGTGGCTGTCTAGTAGAGGTGAAGTTAACCCTGCAAGATAATTATTATAAAAAACTGCAATAATTACACTTGCAGGGTTAAGGGTAGTGGGAGTTGGCACCCAGACCACTCCAATGAGCAGAGGTGGTCTGGGTGCCTTGAGTGTCCCTTTAAATCAAAGCTCAAATTCAGCCAAAGTGCATGATTTTTTTCAAATTTTCTATTATAGCCTTAATTTTGCTACTTAGTTCTTGGGCTACCAAACCTCACTGTTTAGTGAAATGGTACCAGCATAATTATAAGATAAAACTTATTATACTTCATAAGTACAAGGGCAAATCTACAATTAGGTGTTTTACCCTGTGTTTTAACAAGTTGGACTTTCCACGGACCGCTGGTCTAATCCTCAGTTGACAAGGACCATATACTGCCACGAGACACGCTGGTTTACCCCCTAAATCAGCGGGGCCGCCCCAGCACAACAACCACATCACATAATGTGACCCAAGTACCCTGTCCTAGAACATCTGTCTTAGACCTGCAAATCAGAAACCTCACGTCATCCGCTGCGCCAAAAACATCCCCAATAACAAACCCCCAGGGACCGATTTGGATGGGCTCACCCATCCACAAGGGCCCCAAAAAAGGCAAAGGAGAATGCCAACCGAAACAACGCCACTTCAAATGGGGAGGAACAAGCCTGTGTCAGAACTGAGAATATGCCTACCATAAGAGCACCGTAAACCAGCCTCCGAGAATCAGAACGCGTAGGCCCTTTCCACCAGCCCCTCATAACCAACGAAACTATGACATCCTTAGTAATGTCCGACACAATGGTGAGTTGAAATCAAAAGTTTAGCCCAGACAACTTCCCAGACACGTCGAGGAAGAACAGCCCAAAGCCTCCCAGAACCAAATTAGTTATAATAAACCCCACTCACCATCCGACTGAAAACAACCATGTTGCCTTTCGAACGCTAGCCACTCGCTCTATGCCTTACCTTAACGCTGCCAAGTAGACTCCGAGACTGAACCCCGAATCAAAAATTCACTTGGTCAACCCAAGGCCCCACATATCTGCTGGACAAGAGAAACCCATCTTGTCTGCCTCGGGGGCCACCTCCCTTAATTCCCGCCACTGAAAACGAGAAAGAGCATCCGCTGTAAAATTAGTAACCCCAGGCACGTGTACAACCCTACAGTATGCATTCAGAAGCAAACAGCACATCACCAGGTGCCGCAGAAGACGAACCACAGGAGGGGATGAAGCAGACATATTGTTGATGGCCTGCACAGCCCCCAAATTATCACAGTGGAAGACCACCCTATGATCCCTGAAAAGATCACCACAGAACTCCACAGACACCACAATAGGAAAGAGCTCAAAGAAAACCAAATTCTTAGTCCGCCAAATGCCAAGAATCCGGCCAAGGATCGGCACACCAGTGGGCTCCAAAACCCACTGCACCTGCGGTGTTGTTGAACAAATGGAGTTTGGCATTGGACACCTCAGGCGCCTGCCAATACGACTGTCCATTAAATCCGTCCAAGAAGACAGACAAACCCCCAAATCCTCGCGCAATGGGCGAGTGATCTGCACATATGATGAGGGTGATCCACCCCCGAAGTAGCACACACACACTCTATACACACACACTACTCTATATACGCATGCACACACTAAAAAAAACTAGATACACACACACACACTACACCCCCTACGCGTATACATAATACACTCTCTATATCCCTTATATACACCACCTGCACTCACACACACTATGCACACTCTATACTCCTTTAAATACACACACTACACCTCCCGCACTTACACATAAACACATTACACACACTCTATAACCCTCATACACACCACACACCCTTCACTCACATACACACAGTACAGAAGCTCTATGCCACCTAAATATACACTACACTCCCAGCACTCACACACTCTATACCCTCTATAAACACACACTACATGCCATGCACTCACACACTACACACTCTGTCCCTTATACACACCACACCCCCATGCATTCACACACACTAATCTATATACGCATACACACACTCAAACTCCTAGATACACACACAATTACCACCCCCCCTTTTGGCCCCACCCCTCACAGTGGGCTGCACTACCATTAACAGCCCGGACTGAATTTACATCCCAGTCCGGCCCTATTAGAGGGTATATTTAGTGCAGTCGGTTTGGTGTTAGGTACCACCTATAGATCAATTTTCTGTGTGCATCCACGTGGGAATAGCACTTAGTAAGTCCTTTCAGTGATTTTTTTACTATCTGAGATTCATTCTTTGGAAGTCAGCTCATATTCTAGCTCTAGGGACCATTGTTTGGCAAAAGGGAACTCCCTAGCAGGCATTGACTCCGCCAAAGCCCTGTAGCATTCTGAGTTTCGTCTCAGGGTCCAATTGGACGTGTGTTATTATAAAACTCTTCAGTTGAAGATATTGAAAAATAAATGAGTTTGGCAAGTGGTATGTGTTTTGTAGTTCTGGAAAGGGTGCAATAAGTCCCTGATTGCAAATGTCTACTATGTATTTTACTCCTTTTTGAAGCCAGGAGCGGAAAAAAAACTATGGGGATAATGCTGATAGAGCAGAAACTGGAGCATCAAGGAGACATTTATGGATTTCCCCAAGTCGTGCCCTAAATTGGTCCCATTGGTGTATGGAGAGGAGCGTGGATGTGAATAGCCGTAGGGTTTTTTGTCAAAGGTGTTTAGACAGCTGCCAGGGAATTGCCAGAAACCATAGAGCTTTCCATGTCTACCCATTGTAAATCCCCTTTTGGGGCGTGCATCCTAATTGCTGTTTTCAGCAGGGAAGCTTTGTGGTACATTGTTATATTGGGGAGACCTACTCCACATTTGGAGGAGTGGCACTGCAGAAATACGAGAGACACGCGTGACCTGTGGGAGTCCCATATGAATCCGTTAAAAGCTGATTGGATGCATCTGTTAAGGGAGAAGGACAAGCATAGGGAAAGCATCCTGAATGTATATAGCAGTTTTGACAATATGACCATTTTGGTCGTGTTGACCCTGCCCATAAAAGCTTGACCTTTTTCAAATTTGAAATGGTGGCAGCGCACATTTGGGGTCGTGTTTTATAGTTCTGAGTTTTTGACTCATTCAATTAGTAGTAGAAAATGTTTCTGTGGTCTTTCAATAGCTGAAGAAGGTCTGGGATGGAAGCGGCTGGATTGCCCAGGGTCAACAGTATGTTGTCTAAGAACAGGCGAAATACCTCGCTTCCTAGTTTTACCCCTTGGATATCAGGATGGTGTCTTTTGTTTTGTTTATAGCTAGCGTTTCTAAGCATAGTATGAACAATAACGAGGAGAGGGGACACCCCTCACTAGAGCCATTAGTGATAAGAAAGGGGTCTAATAAGAATCCTGAGTTGGATACCTGAGCTTTTGGAAGATTGTATTAGGCTAGGATGCCTGCTATGAAGATAGGTGGGAAGTCGAATTTGCTGAGCACTTGCTCCATGTATTGCCTGTCGATGGCCTTTTCCATGTCCAGCACTAGGAGAAGATCCTCGGCTTTTGATGACTGCATGTGGGAGATGATGTTTAGTATTTTGCGTGTGTTATCTGAGCCTTGACGGCAATGCATTCATTTTAAAGTATTTAAAAAGTTGCAAAGTAATCAAGGTTAAAAGAAAAACCTCAAGCTCATCAAGTCTGAACTTTAACACATATTCATATGCCATTGATCCAAAAGATTAAAAACCCAGTTTGAAGCAATTGCCAATTAATAACTGTTCACTACTCTAAATAATCAAAATCCCTCTGTAGAGAAGAAATATCCTGTTCAGAATCTATTATCTTACCTAGTTTTGTGTTATGTGTAAACAATGACACATGACATTCATTGCCAATTTAAGATCATTAACCCCTTCCTGCACAGACTTACCAGGATATGTGCCCATAAACAGTAATCAGGTATATATGATTTTAACCATTGCAAATGAAATCTATTTATTACAAACAGGTTTGATTTGCAATGGCTGTCCAGCCAGCAGAGCCAGTGCTACCATGAGTAACAAAGTGTGGGGGAGCTGGACATAGAACATAGAAATACAGACACACATACCACACATCTACCACCCAACTCACCCTGTCACATCACCCCCATCCATACACGGTCACATTGTCACACTTACCTCATAAACGCACAGTTACCCGCATACAGGAAGCTCCCCACAGACAGTAACCCTCATATTCACACAGTCAACCCTCACACCATTAATAAAACACACACACACAAGCAGCCCCTATACACACAACACACTGCAAGCAACTCCCCTACACTCACAGATGCACAAGGATACTCACTAGACACACACTCTCAGGCACATACACACTACACAATGCAAGACAGGCACACGCAGGTACCAATATACCCTTCCAGACACACACTTTTATTGTGTGTCTGTATCTGTCAATGCGTGATTGTCTGTTTGCCATTGTGAGTCTCTGTGCATCAGTGTATTTGAGTGTGCATGTGTGTACACATATCAGAGTGTATATATGCATGTGTTTATCAGTGTGTGTATTTGTGCATTTGTGTGTGTGTCCAAAGTGACAACATGTTGAGGCAAAAGTGTCAGACACTGAAAGTCTTCCATGACACATTGCTACAGGGAAGCTATAATGTATCGGTTGATGGGCAGCAAATAAGTCTGCATTTAATAAAAATAAGTATTTTATATTTTGTTTGGAACAGATATTGATACTTCAGGGATATGTTCTGATTCATAGATGACCTTTATTGAGTTAAAATTTAAGTTATTCGAATACAGGAAACCATGTACAAAACAACAGTGGAGGAGATAGCAGAATGCTGGCACCTTCAATTTGCAATCAGTTACTTCACTCATGGGGTTACTATATTAAAATAAAAGCTTCAGCACATTTACTTCCTATAATCTTGCTTTGTTTGTAGGAACTCAAGAAAGTGAAACACTCCAGAAAACCACAAAAAAATGTGCACTGCTCATGACCAAGAATAGCATCAAGCACACCCAACAATAGCAGCGCAATCAGACAGTTACTGGTAAACTGGAAACTGCCTTTAAAATTCATGAAATAGCTCATTGCATTTTAAAGGGGAACCATCACTTTTCTGGAAACAGCACCTTAATAAAAACTGAAAATCAGCTATAATGTATTCATGTGAAAACATGTACGTTAAAGATTTATCAGACAGCATTACAATCCATTTCAGTCCAGGCCCAGACAGCGCACACATTACTAACAAGCAGGAGAAATATAAACATTGATTCTTTTCTCTCCTTCTCTCTATATTTTTTTTTTTGGTAGTAAAAGATAAACAGGCTAAGTATACTTGTCAAATTTTAAGTAACAATATGCTTTGTTAACATGCTGATGAGTATGTCAGTACAGAATTCGATAAAAGCAGAGATATCGATAAAAGCAGCGATATCAGGTTATACTAACTGACAAAGGGGATTGTGTAAATGAGAACACAGGAAAGCCGCAGGGCGGAATATCTAGCGTAAACAAGAAGTACTAGTATCCCACTAATATGGGGCCATCATCCGATGCCCAATTTTGGTATGAGCAATGCTTGCACTTGAGGAATGCCAACGAGTGCACGTTGAGTAGGCCCATGTGGATAGCCAAACCAATTTCAGGCTGAGTGTAATGCCATTGCCATGTCTCCACACACCCATCTTTTAATATTGCCCAAGTCCATCCCCCACCGGGGTCTGTGTGGGTACCTGGTGCGATAGCTGCACCTCTTGCTTCACCTCCACAGGTGTGGGCAGTGTAGTGAGGTCTTGCCTCACTTGGATGTCAGTCCAGTTAGGTCTCGCCGGTAGATTCCAGTAATGGGTGTAAATGAAATGCCTAGTGTGGGTCTCCAGGAAGGGCCAGACTCCTGTTGCTGTATTTCTGATCTTCGCGATATACGTGCCCAAATTCGCTGCAGATTTTGTCAAAGTCCTTCAGTATCTCCGCTTGCCAAGGACTGTGCTACTCTATGGCAAGGCCATCTTGGGAAACTGGGTCTCTGCCTCTTGTGTACCTCGGGCGCCTCCAGATGTGAGCAGCCTTCCCATGAAGACTGGGATAACCCCCACCGGTCCAAAGATGGGGGGGAACAAGGCCACTGATACAAACTTCGGAGGTCCAGTTCACTGCTGAGACAGGGACTGGCCTCCTCCCTCTCTCAATTGTCAGTTAGGCCTTAACCTCCAGGAGCCACAGTCACACTGATATCTGGGACATCTCGGGCTCTAAAACAGGTCAAAGGGGGACCAACTTTTGCACTTTAGTCAAGGCTCTCATCGCTGGTTAGTATTGCTATGGTTAATTATTAAATGACAGTTCGGTAGGCTAAAACTTGGAGGATCAATATCACCATGCATCTGTCCAAGATGGCGGTCAGGCCCAGCCCCCAGCTTTATAATCCTTACACTATAGAATCACTTTAAGAACAGAGACTGACTTAAATGTATTGGGGGATTACATAATTCTGCATTTAAATAGCCTGGATAAAATGAGAGGGCATGATTGGATTTGAAGGGTCGAAAAGAGAGACACTAACTTGTAAAATAGGATAGTAGATTTATGCAGCAGCCATTCAGTGGTATTAACAAAATTTAATGCAGTAGGGATTCATGACTGTGTGGGATGTTTGTAAGGCTATTCTGAAGAACATATAAATAGGTAATACTAGGTTTCATAATGTGAATTAACAGTTGGACAATCAGGTGTAATCAGCCTTTATAATTTATATTTATGAAATAAACCAGGAAGCAAAATAAAAGTGCAAGACCTACAGAAGTAATCAGGGCAATCATAGGGCTGGGAGGTTACTAGACATTTAGGCAGTAGTTTTCTAACATTGAAAGTGTGCTAAATAAAATGTATTACAGCATTAGTCATTCAGTGGAATTAAAAAACAGGAACCCATTTACCACTTACATTTAAACTATGGGGTAAAAATAGTGCAAGTTAAAGATAATGCATTAAAATAATGCAAATAAAGTGCATTCAATATAAAACAAACATTGACTGATAATTTTATTTGACTGGGCCAAAGACGAAGTGTGGTTAGAGCGGTTCTCTAAAGACAAACACTAATTAGGCCTGCCTAATCTGCGATCTTATTATGTGGCGGTCAACTCGTCCACATATTCTTTGTATTATACTATCAGGCCCCGCAGATCGGTTGACGTATTACATGTATTTATATATTCTTCAGAGTAGCCTTACAAACATCCCAAACAGCCTTGAATCCCTTTACTGTATTAAATGTTGCTACTTCCACAAAATGGCTGTTGCATCCTATTTTACAAACCACAGAGTGCTACTTTTACCAAACCACTAGTACCTCTTGTTCCAGAATGATGGTTTAGAATCATATCCCCATACTCTTTTTTTCTCAATACTTAGCCTAATTGTATCTGTGGCTACCTAAAATATCTCATCCTTTTTTACGTAAACAGTGTCTGGCTATTGTTTCTGGCGATTTAGGACACGTATGCCATCAAATACAAACTAACCACAGCTGAATCCACACTGACACCATTTTTGAGGAATAGAGTTTCTATCTGCAATTTTCATGTCTAGCTTTGCCTGCCTGGGGGATGCTGGCTTGGAAAGGATTAGGGATTTGTTTTAGTTGGCGTCAGCTATTTTCTTTAATACCCCGAAATCCAAAGCCTCTCTGATTCTGTCTGATTTCTTTATATATGTCCATTTACCTAGCTATGACCAGAAGGTTGACTTAAGCAATGCATTTTTATGAGCTTTGACATATTTTGAAACCCTTTGTTTTCAGGAGACTTATGTTAAAGGTCTGATCTCTATCTTATACTCATTTCTGATTCAACTCTTGATTGAAATGATCTCCCTTACGTCATGAAGTCACAAAATGAGTTGGGTGGTGAGGTCACAGATGATGATTGGTTAGATATGTGGGAGCATAAAGGGGTAAGGGATAAAAATAAGTCTCATTATATGCTGCTGAGAACCAAAGACAACATGCAGATGGACAAACTCACGGAGCTTGTACACCACAACTCTGCCTGGATTCCTCCTTGAATATGCTCCTTGAGACAGGCCTGTGTGTAAAGTGGATGTAGTGTGTGTTTGTAGTGTGTGTGGTTGCAGTCTGCATATGTGTAGAGTAAATGCAGTATTTGTAAAGTGGATGCAGTGTGTGTGTGTAGTGGAAGCGAGCGCTTGCGGTATAACTGCTCCCGCGGTGTGTGTGTGTGGGGGGGTGGTTACCTTCCCATGCAGTGCTGCGGCCCCGAGCATCCACTTCCCCGTGACCGTGTGGCCAGGTGGGGGTGGGGCCGGCCAGTTACCAGACTTACCGCATTAGTTCCGTCGATGGCAGGCACATGTGCTGTAGCTTTGACTGGGACTCAGCGATGACTTGGGCGCATTGCACCCTCAGGCTGTCCTGGCTTTCTGCCCCATGTGGCTGGCAGGTTAGGCTACTGGGAACCATAGTGGATGTTATAGATCACAGGCATGCTATATAGAGCTGTGCACAACCCCTCAAGGGTTACAGGCACAGCTGGCAGTGTTACCACTTATACTCACCCCCCGCCCCCTTTTTGTTTGTTCAGATGATTGCTTGCAGCGCTCTGTTTTATCATATTGACCAATGGGGCACCTCTTGTGAGGTAACTCAGTTGGTGAGTTCCCTGACTACAGGTGTACTCAATATGCAAGTTCACTATTTATGGAGTGTCAGGCACTATTTAACTAAAGTGCGTTATCTACAGTTACACAATGGAATGCTAGGTACAGTCACACAGAGGAATGCTATCTACAGTTACACAGTAGAAGGCTATGTACAGTTACACAGTAATATACTATGTACAGTTACACAGTAATATACTATGTACAGTTACACAGAAGAATGCTATGTACAGTTACACAGGAGAACGCTATGTACATTTACACAATCATTTATTATGTACAGTTACACAGAAGAGTGCTATATACAGTTACACAGAAGAATGTACATACAGTTACACGGAAGAGTGTTATGTACAGTTACACAGAAGGTTACGTACAGTTACACAGAAGAGTGTTAATTACAGTTACACAGAAGTGTGTTATGTGCTATTAATCTGAAGAAGTGTTATGTACATCTTATCTGAAGAGCGAAAGGTACATTTTATCGGAAGAATGGGATGCGCAGTTCCTCACCTGTACATCTCTGAAGGTCCTGACTTGGAGGGTGGATTGGACGCAATGGGGTGCCTCCTATGCTCTCCTCTTCCTGAGTTCTCGTACGTATGGAATAGTTTTCTCTGGGAGGACCCGGCGTCAAGACTTTAGTCCATGGAGGAGGACCCATCATGCCCTGACCAGTTCGGCTGGATGACGGACCTGTTTGCTCAGCGATGGACAATTCTCTCCAGGAGTGTTCGACACAGAGACGCGGACGAGTCTCAGGACCTTTCTACAGGTGCCTCGGTCTGCTGGTACTTTGGAATTATGATCTCTGCTTCGGTAGAGTCGAACCTAGTTCCTGGATTCCCTGGACCCTTGCTCATTTGTTCTCGGGGATTGTGAGACTTTGGTCTGCATGGCGACCCTGACGTAGTTGGGTCTGGTACGGATCTCCTAATTTTTCTACAGCTTTTACAGGGTTCGGGTATTGTTCGGTCACTTTATTACCGGGGACTGCCATATTAATTAGATTATGTAGCGCGTACGACTGTTGTCGGCGGGCCTCGCTCTGCTTAGAATTCCCTTTACGATTCCTGAGGACGGGTATTCATCTCCCCAGGGGGTACACACATTTTTGTCATGCTCTTATGGTGGGCTTTGTCGGGTTTTGCCCATTCACTGATTCTGGATTTATTTCCGTTACTATACCTTGTTTTTCTTTCAGATGGGTTCGGCGGTTCGGACCTTAGTTGTTTATCAGCCTTAGTCAGACCCGAGGGTCATATTCTTACTTTGGTAGTGCTCCCACGTTTAGGCAGTGTTCGATGTCACCGTTTGTTTAAATGGTTCTTCTCTTCTTCTCGCCCTTCATGTTCTGCTTGGTTGTGGTTGGCATTGGCGGGGCGTATAGGTTTTTTCGGTTCACTTCAGACCGTAACACTGCGACTTCAGGTACCGACATGGCGGGCGTTTTTCTCCAAGACATCGTGCCGGTTACGAGGAGCTATCTTCGCAGAGTTTAGGTTTAGGTTGGATCGTGTTTCTTTGGTCTTTGCTGTCTGAGCATTAAAACAGCAAATATGAAGCCTCCTGTCATGCTATAAAATTGTAGATTATACTAGCTTTAGTGTAACTATAATCTTAATTTTATTAATGACAGGAGGCGAATATTTCCCTCCCAGTTTCTCCCTCCCCTTGTTGTTTGTTGGTTTGACTGACTTGTTGTTTATTCACCTGATCTCCTGGGCTAGGTTGGTTATCTGGGGGAGATGGGGTTTATCTGGGATATGGTACCATCAGTATTTTATGATGGGGATTCAGGTTTTTTCACTATCTGGGATATTATACTGTCAGTATTTATGATGGGGATTCATGTTTTCTTAGTACATTTCATTCGCTAATTGGTGTTTTCGACTGTTTATCTCGTTTCAGTTTAATGGTTTGGCTACAGTTCTTAGATCCGACTACTCTACAGAATAAAGGTCAAGGCTTCACCCACTGGTTCCACAGTTTCAATTCCGGATGGAATTCATCGTTATGTTATGTTTGTTTCTCCTGTTATTGTATTTGTGGTGTATTGTTTATGTACTTTATTTGTTGCAGCGTGAAAGAGGAAATAATTAGTTGGGAGAAGCCTTTTATAGATTCCTGATTTTTTTTATCTCTATGTTAATGTGCTGCTGTGGAGTTCTAGTAAAGAGAGACTTAGGCAAATATTCGCCTCCTGTCATTAATAAAATTAAGATTATAGTTACACTAAAGCTAGTATAATCTACAATTGTCCTATTTATAGCTAAATCCCCCCTCTTATAATATTGTAAAGCCCTACGGAATCTGTTGGCGCTATATAAATAGCAATAATAATAATAATAATAGTACTAATAAAGACACTGGTTTTCTATTATATTGAATACATATCAAGAATTAGCTCACATCAACCTATACAATCAATATCTCTTTGGAGTACAAGCTGCACCATATAAACAGAGAAATTTTTTACATAAAGATTAATTAAATATGTGGTAATTAAAGGATAAAATTGTGCCACTTCTTCATAGGAGGGTTGGTAATCAAAGTTTAAAATTAGGAAATAGTTTCACATATTTAAAGGAGATTACTGAAAAAGTTTCTATAGGTCACAATAAATGCTAACGTAGTAGGAGAATTCAAAAATATAGTTGATTATTAGGAAATGGGAAGTAAAACATCCTATAATAGAAACCTTTTATAAAGAGTTGACTATGACACCTTAAAACCTCTGTTTTTTTTCTCCCAGAATGCTCTTTTCCTCATCTAAAGACACTTGTTACCTGCGTAGATGTTTTCCTTTAAGTATTCTAGACAAAAAGGCGAGCCTTCTTATAATGTGTAAAATAAAATGGTGTTATAGAAGAGACGGTTGAGTTCAGTATATTATTAACGCCTCCAAAAAAAAGGGCACTGCAATCACCATAACCACTACAGTGTGCTTTAGTGATTAAAGCTCAAGAACTACCCTGTCAAACTGTTCCAGAATGGTTTGAAACTTATTTGGCTCACTCAAGTGCTGTGGCTCTTCTGGTCTTCTATGATATCACTAAAACAGATTTCATCTGATTTTGCAATATCAACTGTATCCGTTTTAAGGCTTAAATAAACATTCTGAGCATCATAACCAATACAGGGTATTCTACTTGTTGTCGTGCTAGGAGTGACCTGGTGCCCCACCTTTGTAAAAAATCAAACAATTTTAGAACAGTAAACTACATGCCATTTTCCACCTCCTCTACCTCAGCCAGAGAACTGCCATAAGCACTACAGTTTGTTCCTTTAATATTTGCATTGGGCGATCAGAGTGCATTCATCAATCAGAACAGCACAATTTTACTCTATTTTGGACCAGTCATCCACTGCATACATTTCTTCAGCCACCTATTATGGATCCTTACTGACCCCTTGCAACTCAAATGTGAGTCTGCATGACATATGCACGGTCGCCTTGTCGGCATCTGCTTAAACCCCACCAAATACCCATTTCCAATAAAACACTGACACCACAGTTTTGGCAAAATTATATCACAGCTTTATTTGATACTTAACATAAAATATAAAGGTCATTGTCAACAGCAGGCCAACGTTGGCCTGCACAATTACCATCCTGCAGTTTACAATTTAACCCCTTGACAATGACCCACCCCCACATAATATAATACCCAAACATTGTAACATTTAACCTAACATTGAAACATGACCATTGCCACCAAAGGGCACCATCCATTGCCACCAAAGGGCACCACAAATGTAGGGGCATACCGAGACACCCCTACACACCCCGGTTCGGAGCTACTTACGAGCTTGAACCTACCAAACCAGTCCAAAGGCCTACCTATTAGCCCTGAACTCCAAGCTTTTTCCCCATCTCACTCTTTTCTCCCCCCAACTTTACTCTCCATCCCCCGCCGCCGTGACCAAACGGGAAACACCTGAAAGCAAAGGGAGGGTGGGTGGGACAACAACAGGTAAGTGCAACTTAGATTGAAGTGATACCTAGTTCTAAAATGGCCACTACTTATACTCCCCTTATAACTCCACCCCACACCATTTCCTTAGACCAATCCCTGACCCTGATGCCTGTCTCCTGGCAATGTCAAGGCCCACTCCCTTTAGCTACTTCATGGGCTACACTCTGTAGTACAGTAGGTTTAATCTCTGTGTGACTGGAGGGCCAAACATTTGGCTAGGCCTATGGCAACATTGAATCTGAATACATAACTGGGCTCCAGCGTTTTTTTAGTTCTAGAATGTTTATTGTAGTAATATTGTTCATTTTATTTTTTCGTGTTCATTTTTTTAATTACTGCAAAGTTTACATGATTTTGGAAGATGAGTACATCATTTTTCAGGATTGAACATCTAACTAGTTCCAGTATTTGCACTGTAAAACTTTCCTTTATAACTCAAGTGCCACATGCTAACTAGTAAATTCTACAATACCACAATGTAATAAATCAATTTCAAACAAAATATCTTAACTCCATGTTTTTCGTCTAAAAAGTTCCAGAACATGGATATAAGCATGAGATCATTGTTCCCCAGGCTAGAATACAGACCTCTGGAAGCTCCAAAAATGCATTATAATAATGCTTTCATAGTATGAGCTCATCCTTCGAAGGATTAAATATCTAACCAGCTGAGGACCCACAGCTCTATGTTAGGAAGGTCAGTTAACTGTGCAATACATACAGTTGCATGCTGTTGTGGTCACATGGAGTCCAGGTGAAGATTTGGTGCATGTTAAACGACAGTCCTAATCATGTGACTTGTGCTTGTGGCGAGACTAACTGGAGTATTCAATAACGTGCAAATTTGTGTGAATTAATTCCATAAGGCAAAAGTGTAGTAAAAATAGTTGCTCGTGAAAGATTCTCCAACTCTGGTATAGTCAGATCTTGTTTCATATTTAACCACAGTTTTTCTGCGTGAAATGAATTCACAAAAATTCTGAGTTTAGTGAACTACCCTGTAAGTGAACTAATCAGAAAGATGTGCATTCAAAAGAAAAAGCTTCACTTTCTCTATTGACCCATGTCCTTAAGACATCTACTGCAAAAAATGCAATCCCAGCCCTGCAAGTCAAAATCTATTAGAGACTAAGGTCTCTAGAACTTTAGTCGTTAACAGTTAGCAGGACCAATTGATGTAGAAATTAGATCCCTGCATCAAGTCACCCTCTCCTGGGAAAGGAAGTTACACATTCCTCTGCACAACTCTCCATAAAGCAGACTTAATGCTTTCCTCCTGTTTCTGAAAGTGTTAAACCAAAATACTAAAGCAGGGCGCATTCCTTTTCATATATACATTCTCTTAAAAAGTAACTCATACATGACAACTTTTTGTGGCTACTTTTTAATTTCAAAGTGCAACAAGAGTTTTATAGATTGTAAACTGATTTGAGCAGGGTCCTCATGAACCTATTGTTCCAGTTAAAAGCTGAAATAGTTTATCTCATTTTTTATTAACGTCCCCTTAATGATATTGTAATGCACAGTGGAATAGGTTGGCGCAATATAAATGATAATAATAATATCTTTTTTATGGTCATTTTAAATTACTTACATTTATCTGGACATAAGCATGTATTGTGCTGCATGATTTAATTTATACAACATAATTTAATTAATCAAAAACATAATTTTAATAGGAACTGTTAATGCACTTACATTTTTAAAAAAAGTGAATGCAAATTGTTTTGAAGGTTAACAAGATTGCATTATTTTTAGGAAAATAAACGTTAAATAGTATACTATACTACTATTCTCCAGTACAGTTTAATGTGATTTACGCAGCTGTTACGCCGTACTTTTGAGACACACTTTCAGAGAGTCATTTACACCTCCCTTTCCCCCCCCCTCCCCACTCCAAATAAAAATCAAATACCCTTTTTGTCCTTATAGAGTCCTTTTGGACTCTATAAGGACAATATTTGAATTATAACTAAAAAGAAAAATATTACATCTTATTAACTGCTAAGCTATAAGCAGGAAGCAGTTGTCATGCAACTTGAGAGCCGTCTAAACTTTGAAATAACTTCATTACAAACAAAGACAATATCTATTACCTCAGCTGCATTGGATTGTAATCCCAATGACGTGGTTGTGTTTTTCACTACCTTAAAACAGTTAGATTTGTAAAAGTAGATACAAAAAACAGTTAGCCTAAACCTGAAAAATATAGCATTGTTTTTGTTAACTTCTCTACATTTTTTTGTAATTGGTCTTTTTTTTTTTTTTAGTTGCTTAAATAAGAAATGAAAAAAGTATTCTAATTAATTTTTTATTATTAAAATAAATTAATGACATTCTTTAAAACAAATTACTTTCATCTAAGGTAAAAATAAAGACAATACTCATTTCATACTTAGGACACACACATATAAAAAAAAGATTGCATTGACCTAAAGACTGTAAGCCGTTTGAGCAGGGTCCTCTTCAATCTATCGGTCCTGTAAGTTTTCTTGTAATTGTCCTATTTATAGTTAAATCCCCCTCTCATAATATTGTAAAGCGCTACGGAATCTGTTGGCGCTATATAAATGGCAATAAAAATAATAATGGACCTACACCACATAGTTTGAAGAATGCTCATTTTTCAGAACAGACCATAGAGGATGCTGGGTGACACACAAACTAGCATGCACATATAATCAATACAGCTACCCATTCCTCCTAATAAGACAAAGTAAATATATGCATAACAATAAGCAGCACAATGTATCTGAGCTTTAGCCTTACCTGTGCAAAGAAAGAAGATGGCAGTTGCAAACATGTTGTGGTATTTCCCCAGCATCCTCCCTCCTTCTGTGTGATGGAGACTAGCTGGAATTTCAGCTAGGGCTAGCTAATTCATGTAAACCCTGTCGTGGTCACTCCCCCTTCAGAAACACATTAGATAAAATTGTGAAACTTGCAAAAAAAAAAAAAATACAAAAAAAGTAATCACATATCCTGTCACACTGCATGCTTGTATTTAACTCCAGTCACTCTGCTGTCTTAGAATGAGAGGGAAATTACCCCCCACATCACCCTTCCAACGTCCCCCAATCTGCTTTACATCAGCCAACATTGTGAGAGGATTTGAAGAAAAAAAAAATTTCAAGCACACTCAAAGAAATATTGTACATTCCAGCTGTTCATTCCAGATTGTCCGAATAAATTGCCAGAACTATTTTTTCCCCCTCTGTTTCGTATAACTGTATATTTGGATTATAAAACTGCTCAAAATCTCCAAATGTGTCCAAATATCAAATTTCAAACATGTATACAGTCAATTTAGTGATATTTAAAGTCTTAGACAAATACACAGAAAGAGACAAAATTGCAAAGGAGGTATATAATCTGCACATTCACCAGCCATTGAATGGAAATAAAATCTGCCTCGGAATTTTCATTTACAGAGGCAATTTTGGAGTTATTCGCTTTTTGGATTTTTTGCTACTTATGCAGCTAGCTGAACATGGTTAACAAAATAAATATGCAATTAAAAAAACAACCTGATGCATTGATTTTGTAGGCACTATAACCACTACACAACTTCCTCGTCGTCCAGACACCGCTCACCAGAACTTCTAATGCAGAAATTCCACTTTCAAAGTTCCACTATAATATTAGCAATATCAAGTTCATGCACAGTATATTTTGATGCTATTCATTGGCGGAAAAATTAGCTCATGGTTAACTGCACTCATGCTGCATGGCTCGGTGTATAGACCAGAAGTAGACAACATCTCCCTTGATGCTTTGCTTGCATTATAGAAGTAAGACCATTATGGAAGCTGTAGTCCACAACATTTGGAGTGCAGAAAGTTGCTTACCTCTGGTACAAGCACTAGCATTCACGTGTGCTGGAATAACATGCATTCACGTGTGCTGAAATAACATGCACTTTTCATGGACACACAACAAACGAGAAAGACCAAAGTATCAAACGATCTACTCGCTGCAAAATCTCACGGTCACTACTAATTCTCCTTGACCTTTCCACAGCTTTTGATACTGTTGATTATAAACAGCTTCTTCTCATCCTCTGTAATCTCAGTCTACAAGATATTGCTCTCCTCTGGTGCTCCTCCTACGCCACCCAGTGCTCTTTTAGTGTCTCTTTCTCTGGCTCTGCCTCTTTCTCCCAACCTCTGTCCCCCAAGGTTCAGTCCTTGGTCCCCTACTGTTCTCGATCTATGCTGCCTCGCTTGGTAAACCCATGAGCTCCTTTGGCTTCCAATATCACTTCTATGCGGATGACACGCAAATCTATCTGTCCTCCCCTGATCTCTCCCAGCCCCTCTTGACTAGTGTCTCTGACTGCCTCTCTGCTATTTCTAACTGGATGGCTGCCCACTTCCTTAAGCTCAACTTGCCCAAAACAGAACTTCTGGTCTTTCCTCCCTCAAGTGTTGCTACCCTTGTTACTATCTCCCTCCACGTTAATGGTGCTACCATCAGCTCCACCACGCAGGCTCGCTGCCTATGTGTTCTCTTTGACTCCGAACTCTCCTTCACCCCTTATGTTCAGACGATCGCTAAATCCTGCCGCTTCCATCTTAAAAACATTGCGCGCATCCACCCCTACTTAACGCCAGATGCGGCTTAGGTGCTGGTCCATGCCACTGTTCTCTCCTGCCTTGACTACTGCAATCCGCTTCTCAGTGGTCTTACATGTTTCCAACTTGCCCCGCTGCAGTCTATAATGAATGCATTGGCGAGGTTCATCATCCTCGCCCGCACCTCCCACGCCTCACCCCTCTATCAGTCCCTGCATTGGCCTCCCGTAAGATATAGGGCTCAATTTAAAATTCTGGTTCTTGCTTTCAAATCTCTTCATAATGCTGCTCCCACCTATCTATCCTCCCTAATACACAAATATGTCCTGTCTAGGCCCCTATGCTCTGCCGAAGACCTGCGTATATGCTCTGTTCATACTCCCACCTCTGATGCTCACCTTCAAGACTTCTCTAGGGCTGCACCATTCCTGTGGAACTCCATTTCCTTTTCCGTTAGATGCTCACCTAGTCTCACAAAAGTGTATCAATTAAACTGTCTTCATTGAATGCCATTCTATCAATCAACTTCCCTAATGCTTCCCTTACCTTTTTGTGTCATTTTACCCCACTCCCTCTAGCATGTAAGCTCATTGAGCAGGGCCCTCAACCCCTCTGTTCCTGTGTGTCCAACTTGTCTGGTTACAACTACATGTCTGTTCGTCCACCCATTGTAAAGCGCTGCGGAATTTGTTGGTGCTATATAAATATAATAAATATAATAATCCTATGGCATGGTTGTGAATGTAAACTACATTTTTTATGGTTCTTAATCAGTGCTACGGGTCCAAGGTTAATCACTGCTGTACTGGAGGGACATTCCTCTGTATTGTTTTAACCCTGGAAGTCATCCCATAGTACAATCTATTAAGCTTTGTCTGTCTTTAACAATAGTGTTCTACAAATTATTTGCTACGTGATTTTAACACTGTGATAACAAAGTGCAGAATACATCACATTGTCTTGCGTAGAATCTGATACCCAGTGGGTTAAAAAGTGACATTGGTATTGAGTAGATATTCTTGCACAAAGCTCTTTAGGTTATATTCCAAGGATAAATTGCAGGAAATAACTTTCTCTGTGGGGTATGGGTCCTCCACACAGAATTCTCCACATTGTAGCAACATAAGTGTTATATTGCCTTGGAGTAGAGTTGCGTGATTATAGAAAATACATACTATAGAGGTACATTAAATTCAATTCCGTGCTGTAAGCTGTATTTCTTATAAGCGTCCCTAGACATTAGAATAGTTGTGGTTGGACATAATAAATAGCACACAAAATTTGGGATGAGCAAGGCCCACAGCGTTAAATAACATAAATGGTCATTGACACAAATGCATACAATCTTCCTATTTATCCCTTCTAGACATATGTTGTGTGAAAACTCACAAAAAAAGTGTCTAAAGGATGAGTGTCATCACTGAAATATGAAAGATAACCCTGGACATTGCTGAGCACAGTGGCCATATTTCAAGTCGTGGATCTGTAAAAACTACTTTTTAATATAATTTGGCATAGATATCATTATACCTACCCTCAAAATGTTATTATAAATAACCTCAGAAGGAAATATTATTATAATGAACCTCAGACGAAAATGTTATTATATATAATCTCAGAGGAAAATAATATGAAACTATGGTGTATACTAAAGTATAAGATGTAAACTGTCAGCAAATCATGGAAATTATTCCGATAGTCAACATTCACACTGTCTGTCGGAAATAAACATTTCACATATAAAGACATAATATTTACAGTCACTCGTAGGCATTTAATTACAGAGACACAAACACACACAGGCACATAACAGTCTAAGTAACACAGAGGCTCTTACTCACAATTTGTGTGTATTTGTGTTTAATTATGTACACCCATACACTTACAGAAAAACACACGGTTACATACTGATACAACTCAGATATATAGTAACTCACTCACAAAAAAAATAACACTCACAGACATACAGTTATGGAAGTAGACACACTCACATGCACATATACAGATACACGTACAGATGCATACTGGCTCATTGCCACATACAGACACAGATGCACATTCACAAATACATACATTTAGACACACTCACAAATACATGTATACAGAAAAACACTCAGGTACACACATACAGACACACAGATATACTCTCATAATCACAAATGCAGGTACGCATTCACACAAACACACACAGATACAGACTCAGTCATACACATGGAAACACACACTCCCATCCACATGCTGGAAGTAGTGGCCTTTCACTGCATAGAGAAAGTTAGCTGCCCCCATTTGAGAATGGTTTAATCCCCTTGAGGCCTACAGAGACCTCCTGACACCAAAACAACTTCATATAGACAAAAGTTGTTTTAGTGCCTGGAGTGTCCCTTTAAGTTCGCATCACTACGCGGCGCACAAGGGAGCTGAACAGGAGGATTAGTGCTCCCTCGCCGACTGCAGTGACCAGCCGGATGGCCAGCAGCCCCACTGGACCCCAGGGAAAGTGATAATCCACCCTAGCATTTCCAAAGGTAGGGAGGCTGGGGGGATTGAATTTAAAAAAAAATGTGAGTGTCTGTTTGTGAGTGTGTGTGTGTGTCTATTAGTGAGTGTCTGTCAGTGTGTGTGTCTGTTAGTGTGTGTGTATGTTAGTGTGTGTGTCTGTTATTGTGTGTGGTGTGTGTGTCTATTAGTGAGTGTCTGTCAGTGTGTGTGTGTGTCTGTTAGTGTGTGTGTGTATGTTAGTGTGTGTGTGTATGTTATTGTGTGTGGTGTGTGTGTCTGTTAGTGAGTGTGTGTGTGTGTCTGTTAGTGAGTGTTTGTGTCTGTTAGGGAGTGTGTTACTATGTGTGTGTCTGTTTGTGTGTGTGTCAGTGAGTGTGTATGCATGTCTGTTAGTGGGAGTGTATGCATGTCTGTCTCTGTTAGTGAGTGTGTTAGTATTTGTGTCTGTTAGTGAGTGTGTATGCATGTCTGTTAGTGAGAGTGTATGTGTGTCTGTTAGTGACTGTATGTGTCTGTTAGTGAGTGTGTATGTCTGTTAGCTAGTTTATGTGTGTCAGTGAAAGTGTGTGGCTGACACTGAATGTATATGTGCCTGTCAGTGAGTGTGTATGTGTATTTAGAAGGCGGGGTGGGGGGGGGGGGAGAGGTTGCCTGAGTTTTGTCATGCCTAGGGCAGCACAAAACCAGGATACACCACTGATAGGACCTACTTATATTTTATGTAAATGATTGACAGGTAAGAATTTGCTATTAATTTACATCAATTGAGCAAATTTTTTATGTAACACAACACTCTGTTTTCCAATTTATTGATAGTTATGTGCCTTATAAATGATATGTTCATTATGGTGTAGCTGCTTGACAAAAACCCTTTTGGGTCGAAATGTTGCTGTACACTGTGCCAATAAATCTGCTGTGTCTGGACTGTCTTCTGTTTCTCAACTATTTCTTTAGATTTGGCCTGGTCCGGTTGCACCCTGGTCATTCAGGTGCAGTGTCCCTCTGGTTCATCTACTCATGATTGACAGTTAGACCAGATGGAGGTGCCCATTTGCAGGATGAAGATTTTATTTTTCAAATTTAAAAAAATGCTATTTTTTTTTTTTTTTTTAACTACAGGTGATAAGTAAACATAGTATTGAAAATCCTGGAAAGTGACAGTTCTCTTTTAGGAAGTGTGCCATATGTATAACTAATCCTGATAAGTTTGGGTGATATATTATGCCCTTGACTGTTTTGTTGCTCACATAGTTCAATGTGATAGATTACTCACAGATTGTGCAAGTTTTTCTCTGAAAGTACCTGAATGGCACCTCAGCTCAGATCCACCATCAATTAGAATGAAAACAACCATGTAAAGTGAAATATTCCTAATATTAATACAACGATATTAATAAATCATGCAATGTACCAGTGAAATGTCACAAGAAATTTTTTGACTTTTCATGTCCTTCTAGGCTTGACATAGAATTAAAGGGACACTATAGTCACCAAAACAACTTCAGCTTAATGAAGCAGTTTTGGTGTATAGATCATGCCACCGAAGTTTCAGTGCTCAATTCACTCTCATCTCGGAGTTAAATCACTTTTGCTTCTGTCCATGCAGCCCTAGCCACACCTTCCCTGGCTGTGACTCACATAGTCTGCATGAAAAAATGGTTTCACTTTCAGTTAAAGGGAAACTCCAGTGCCAGGAAAACAATCCGTTTTCCTGCCACTGCAGGTTCCCTTTCCCTCCCACCCCCCAACCCCAACCCCCGGTTGCTGAAGGGGTGAAAACCCCTTCAGTAACTTACCAGAGGCAGCGACGATGTCCCACGTCGCTGCTTCTTCCGCCGCCGCTCCTCAATGCTTTTCAATGCTTTTCTATGGGGAAATGAGCGACTCTGGAGGTCCTCACACAGCGTGAGGATGTCCATCAACGCTCTAGCACAGGTTTCCTGTGCTATGATCCAGGAAGTGCCCTCTAGTGACTGTCTGGT